TTTTTTTTGTCTTTTTCATTTTTATCGGTACCGGGGATCGAACTCACGACCGCCTGCTTGCAAAGCAGGGGCTTATGCCGCTGAGCTAAATCCCCAGCCCCAGATTTGGTGTTTTTAATAAGTGATGTTGGATCAATCGTACATCCATATGGAATTAATGAGCCTGGTTTCCTGCTTCACAACTCTCTGTATGTAAAATACATATTTCAGAAAAATTAGAATTAGCTTAAATTCCCAACAAGTACATATGAGGCATTCTTAAGTTAGTAAGAAACGATGTTAAAAGCATTTTAAAGAGTTTGCTGAAGCATAGGAAATGCCTACAACATTGAGTGAACAAGGCAGATCACAAAAATTCTAATAAAAATGATCATGACTAGGTAAAACATGTGTGTAAAAATCTTGAAGTAACACTAAGGTTTTACGAGTGGTTGTTGGTTGCTTTTGGATGGTGAAATATTGGGGGGATGTTTTTCCCGTGTTTATTTTTCTGTGCCTTACAAAATTTCAAGACTTTTTGATGGCAGAATGAACTCTGAAAAATATTTTTCCTTTCTAAGGTAAAAACTGCCCTTCAGCCTTCTTTGTCAATGGCTGCCCTCTTACCCTTCTAGGTGTTTCTGCGGTTTGCTCTCCTGTAACACACATTTCTACTTCCTGCGGCTGGGTACTCGCGGTCTTCTCACTTGTGACCTCCCGTCGGTCTTGTCCGGCTAAGAGAAGGCCTTTGGGCTGGATCCTCTTTATGGTCAAATCCATAGATGGTGCCCAGGGCAGAGAAGCTGTAAGTCTCCTTGTTGCCCAGACAAGAGGTCAGAGGAGTTCAGCTGAGGAATCTGGAGAAGAATGTGAATCGTCCTGCGCCCAGTGGACAAGCAACTGCTGTACAGCACAGATGAGAAATGTTTCCAGTTAGACGCTCCAAGAGGGCATCGGCGGGAGTCCAAGGTGGAAGTCTTATCTACCCGCCTCTGTGGTCATAAGACCAGGGTTCTCCCTGCGTCTCTGAGGATCCACAGATAAAGCGAGTTTCTCCTTTCTGTGGAATAGAAGCAGCTGGGAGGAGGACCCAGACGTCCAACCCTGTGCTATTGTCAAGACGGTGGGCAGAGGACTGTCTGAGACTGAGGCATGATGACTTCTCAAGGAGTGGTGATGGGTTGGATGGGAGAAGCAGGGACAGGACATGGGGACACAGGAGGAAAAGGCTCCAGGTTCAGCCGGCTCTTTCACAGTCCCACGGGCTTTGGCCCCAAGAGCTACATTTTCATCTATCCTGTATGTCAGCAATGCTAGCTAACACTAGTTGCCTAACAAACCTTCCCAAAGCTTAGTGACACTATTTATTTATGGCTCATAGGAATTGAACTCAGGACCTTTTACTTGCCAAGCAGGTGCTGTGCCCTGTCGTATCCCCAGCCATCTTTAAACTGCAACCTTTCCTGCTTAGCTTGAGATTCTGCAGGTCAGCAATTTGGCCGGGCCGAGCTGAGGCGGAGGTCATTTGGGTGGGGGTCAGCCTCAGCTGATTGTGGCAAGGTCTTATTCAGCTGGGGAGGGCTGAATAAGTGGGGGTTGGCTGACAGAGGGCGGCTATGCTGCCTTCTCCCCTGGGCGCTTCTGTTTTTCAGCAGCTGTGAGGAACAGCTTGGGCTCCTTCACGAGGTGGCCTTCACATCCCAGGCCAGGGAGGGAGGCCGCCCCAAGCACAGCACCGTGCAGGTCTATCTCTGGCTCTGCCCTGTGAATGGGAGAGTGGCAGAGCTGCTGCGGTGCTGCAGGGCGGGAAGGGAGTCTCAGGCCTCTGCTCTGGGAGCTCTCGCATCCCGCTCTGCCGTCCTGGGCCAACGGATGGGAGAGGAGCCTCTTAGTGATTCTTCAGGGGATTTCCTCCTCCATACTTTCAACCATCATATTTCATACTTCTAAAATATTATACGTGATCTATATATATATATATATATATATATATATGTATATTTCATGAAAATAAAGCACAATATAGTAATGTATATTCATGAATCTATCCCAGCCCCGAACTAGATCATGAACAACAACTCATTCATATTTACCTCTGTACACCTTCCTCCTCACTTCTCCTAAGTGGTAACATTTGACATTCTGCATTTTCCACTCCATTAAAAAAGTTACCATTAGCCAGCAGTGGTGGTGCATTCCTACAATTCCACTCTCAGGAGGCGGAGGCAGAAGGGTCACTGTGTGTTTGAGGCCAGTTTGGGCTACGTAGTGAGTTCACACAGACAAGCTTAACTACATAGCGAGATCCTGTCTCAAAAAGCAAACTTTTTGTTGAGGAAAAAAAGGAAAAAAAAACAGCGATATCTTGTATAGATATGAATACCAATGATACCAAAACAGTATTTATGATTTCTTGAATTTGTGTTATGATAAAATTTTATGTGATAATAAAATTTGGTTGTAACTGTTTTAAGTGTACAATCCAGCAGCATTAGTTACATTAGCACTGTTGTGTAACCACTAGTACTGTTTCTAAAGCCTTTTCATCACCCCACACAGAAACTGCAAATTAAGCAAGAACTCCCCATTTCTCGCCCCTCCCAACCCGGCATTTTTTGTATCTACATTCGGTTTTTTTTTTTTTTTTTGGTCTTTTTCCTTTTTATCGGTACCAGGGATGGAACTCACGACCGCCTGCTTGTAAGGCAGGTGCTTATGCCACTGAGCTAAATCCCCAGCCCCTACATTCTTTTTCCATAAACTTGTCTATTTTAGATATTTAATGTAAGTGGATTACATATCACCTGTTCTTTTGGGTTTGCTTACTATGTTCCCCGAGTGTAGTCACACTGTGGCATGTCATCAGCCCCGCCTCCTTTTCACACAGGTGAATAATGGTCCCCTGTATGAAGATAACATTAGCTTATGCATTCCTCTGTTGATGGACATGTGGGCTGCTTCCATTAAATTTTTTTTTGTTGTTGTTTTTTTCCTTTTTGTCGGTACCGGGGATCGAACTCACGACTGCCTGCTTGCAAGGCAGGCGCTTATGCCGCTGAGCTAAATTCCCAGCCCCTGGTTGCTTCCATTAATTTGTCTACTGTGAAAATGATGTAATAATGAAGGTCGGTGTGCAAGTCTCTGAGTCTCTGACTTTAATTTGACCTAGAAGTGGCATTGCTGGGTCATATGAAAATTCTATGCGTAACCTTTTGAAGAGCTGTCAAACTGTTCCACAGAGAACACACTTCACATTCCCACCAGAACTGTATGTGGCCTCTAATTTCTCCACATCCTTTCCCGTATTGCTATATGTGTATGTGTGTGGTTTGTATTCATTTCTTATAGTCACCCTAGTGGAGAGGAATGGTGTCTGCTTGTAGCATTTCTCTAATGACATTTTCCAATGATGTTCAGCATCTTCTCATATGTTTTAAAAATGTCTACTCAAATCCTTTGTTCACATTTTAACTGGATTGTTTTTACATATTTAAAAATATTTTCTCCTATTCTGTAGATTATCTTTTCACTTCGATACATAAAAATTAATTTTGATGAAGCTGTTATCTATCTTTTCATTTGTTTGCAATTTTGGTTAATCCATTACCAAATTTACTTTGTTTTGAACCCTCTAAGAGTGATATCTTTTTTTTTTTGAGACAGGATCTCACTATGCAGTTCAGGCTGGCCTTGAACTCACTATGTAGCCCAGGTTGGCCTCAAACTTGTGGTGACCCTCCGCCTCAGCCTCCTAAGTCCTCCTAAGACAAATGTGCACCACTACACCTGGCTGTAGAGTGATATCAATTTGAATGTAATCTAGAACTTCATTTTCCTTCAAAATCAGGTTTATAAGATCACCCATGTTCTTTCACTGTTCATGCATTTCATAACATTCTATTATCTGAATGTACCATGTTATTTATCTATTCTGTTATTGGCATTTGTGTTGTCCCAGTCATTTTGCTACTACATCAATGCTACTATGAATATTCCAAGTGATTTTATGGACAGTGTACCCTAAACTTTTTTTTTTTTTTTTGTCTTTTTCCTTTTTGTCGGTACCCGGGATTGAACTCATGACTGCCTGCTTGCAAGGCAGGCGCTTATGCCGCTGAGCTAAATCCCTAGGCCCTACCCTAACCTTTTTTAAAAAAAATGAATAAAGCAATCTCAAGTTTCTACTTTCAGTGAAACCATACTTAAGATGTATAGGTATAGATGTTTTGCTGAAACAGTGATTTTTCTGATCTACCTGTTTGGACTAATTCCTGGACTATAAATTACAAGAATCATGATTGTTGAATGTGGTCTGTGTAAAGCTAAAGTACAGCTCTAACTATGATTTCTTGAAAACAGTAATGTGAAGATTTGATAGGCATGTTTCACTGATTTTAGTTTGGAGAGCTTATAATCTACATGGAGATACCCAATAGGGTGGGCAAAATCTTTATGAAAAGGGAATATTTTGTTACAGCCCTGTGTAGGTTTGGGGGAGGCTGTAGAGGGTTTGAAACAACTCAAAGGCCTTTGGGGCTGGAAATCCTCCAGAATGGACAGATTTACAGTTCTGTGTCAGTCTATAGCATTAACTTTATGTGATTTCTTACAAAAAAGCAATCAGAGAAGACACACTAAACACAGTTTACTGATTTTAGGTTGGAGAGTATTTAGCAATAGGGAAATGTCCACATAGGTGGGGAAAGTGATTATGAAAAGGAAATTCTTTCATTAGGTTTTTGTAGCTAAGCTAGGTTGCAAGAATGTCTACAAATGGTTTGAAATACTTTAAAGCAAGGTCATTTTCCATGCTGAAAGTGCTCTAAAATAAAGAGCCAGGCTGAATCTCCTCCTGCCCAAATGCTGTTTTCTGGAAACACTTTTGGCAGGTACATGGGGTCATAAAGTTGCCAGATTTCTTCAGGGCTTGGTAAAATAGCACCAACTGTGATGCAAGAGCTCAACTCTTGAGAGGTATTATTTGTGGTTTTTTACTGGAACATGTCAGTGACCTTAACAAGGCCAAAATTGCATAAACACAGAAATTACAAATTAAGGAGGTGGGGTCAGGTTTAGAGGCATAAAAGGCCGAGCTGGTGCCCCTTAGCATTGCTCTTCTAGAAGTAAGACAAGTCAAAATATGAGGTGAGTGTCTTTATACTTCAAGTTCTTTATGCAGCCTTTTTCTCATGGTCCATTATAGAACGAGCTCAGTAGAAAGATGCAAAAATGTAACAAGGGAACAGGGCAAATGGGCTATGCCACAGGGAGTTACTGGGCTTAGTGTATAAAGTCCTCTTGTCTTCTGCTGCAGTAAAAGACGGTGCTTTCAGACAGTGCTGTCTTTGCCAGGAGATGGGATCCACTCAGAATTCATCAGAATGGAGACTTTTTGAGATGGTGACATAAGACTGCAAACTGAACACCACCAGGCCCGGTGAGCGTGGCCTGTGTTCTGATGCCCATGGCCACTGCCATGCTCTCGGGAAGCCACTTCTCCAGGCAGCCTTCTGACATTCTTGATTTTATACTCTTTAAAGCTAATGCTCATAAAATCATAGAAGCAACCTTATATAGATTTTAAATTGTGTATTTAAAAAATCATTATGGAAGCCAATTTTAAAATATAGCGAAGACTGTACAATAATCTCTATGTTCCCACTTTCAAGTTACCTCTATTTTATTAGCAGTGCCTTTGTGGTCCCATTGTTTAGAGGTCTGAGGGAGATTTCTCATATGCCAAAGAGCTTATATATTATTGTTAATTTAATGTTTCCTGGATGAAACCCACCTAGCTCTGTGCCTTATCCAAAACTCTGGAGAGCATGAAGATTGGTGGAAATGTGGGTATGCTCAGAAGCTGTTAAAGTGGGTGGGTGCAACTTCTTGGTCCTAGAACTTCCATGCATCTATTTTCTGGGTTTGTGGGAAAGATCTCTGTGTGTGCATGCATGTGTATGCGTGCGTGCATGAATCAGGGAGACAAACTTTGCACTTCTCTTTTTCTCTGCAGTGCTTTGGCAGCTCTTGTCACCCTCCTGCTCTGGGGGCAGCTTATTGCTGTGGACATCAGCAATGATGTCACAGATATTGCAGGTAGGTCTTTGGGTTCGAGCAGGAGCTGTGCATTGCCAGCTCTGCTGTGGTCCACTCAGAATCCATCTGATCTGCACTGTTCTTTATGGAAGACACACTTCCCTCTTCTCACCTGTTGACTCCTAGCAGTGAGAAGAAACTGCCATTCCCTTGGTTTCCTTTAGAGGGCAGTAGATTTGTAGAGTTACTTCCTCTCATCTAACTTCTTACAGGTTTCTGGGAATAATATCTGGATATTAGTTTCCTTTTCTGGTGTCTTTTTGCAGATGACAGCTGTCCGAAGCCCCCTGATATTGCAAATGGCTACATGGAGCACCAGGTTCGCTATCGGTGTAAGGAGTACTACACGCTGCGCACTGAAGGCAATGGTGAGACCCGAACAAGTCTGCCCCAGGCGCGCACACACCCGGTCCTGAGGTTTCCATGGTGGGTGGGGCTGGGCTGGCTGGTAGTTCACAGGGACTCCTTAGAGCAAGAGTCTTGTGACTTTAATAAAGACTCTGTCATCAGTAAAGTGATCCTTTGAGCAAACTCGCTTCTCAGTCTGTTTCCTTTTGTTAAAGGGAGGCAATGCCACGTAACCGGCCTCACACTAAGAGCTCCATTTATGAAAGGAGGGTGACACTCCCTGAGCTAAGTGCTTCGTATTTATTTGAAGCTCCCTTGGTTTTCATAGCTCTCCTCTGAAAAGATACTGTTATGAGGAAACTGAGGCACATAGGACTTGAGGATCTTTTTTTTTGGTCTTTTTCGGTTTTTTATCGGTACCAGGGATCGAACTCACGACTGCCTGCTTGCAAGGCAGGCGCTTATGCCACTGAGCTAAATCCCCAGCCCCGGGCTTGAGGATCTTGCTCAAGTTCAGACAGCCTATGAGAGGTTCATCCTGCACGAGGTCCAGACTTGATTCCTCTCTGGGCTCACTTTTCTCCTCTTGTTTCAGGAGTGTACACCTTAAACAGTGAGAAGCAGTGGGAGAACGAGGTGACTGGAGAGAAACTTCCAGAATGTGAAGCAGGTGGGTACCAAGGGCTTAGAGCGTGGGTAGCTTGGTTAGAAGGTCACAGAGACAGTTTGCTCCTATGTGGGCTCCCCTGGGCATACAAGAGCCAAGATGAGGCAGTAGGAGGAACCACAGAACGTGAGGCTGACCTGGTCAGTAAGGAGATGACTCTCAGGGGAGCTCACAAAGCAGCTTGTTCACTGAGACCCGAGGAAACTGGCTCAGTTCACTGTTTACCTGCCTCATCAGGAGACCTGGTACACAGACACCTACCTATGGGGCCAGGGTCAAGGTAAAGCAAGCTCTGGGAAGGTGTCAAGGGAGGACATGAGGAAAGCCGAGGTGATGGAGGCAGGAGGCTGGGACTCCCGTTTCTCCTTGTGAGGGAGCTGTGGCTCGCCTTCCCCCTGGGAACAAAGGATTTGCCCACCTTCTCCTGTAAGTGGTTGCCTTGAGTTAATAGAACGCGTTCCTGCTCACACTGCTAGTCCTGTTTAGTCAGAGGGAAGGAGTCTCACAGCTCCCAGCCCTTCCAGCGAGTTCCAGGGCAGTGTGGAAATTCCTCCGTGCTGACAGCATGTTTAAGTAACCATTCAGCAACCCTGCCAAGGTTTAAAATCTTGGTGTTACTCCTTTAGTGGGTTAGAAAAGCAGAAAATAGAGCTCTGCTTTGTGATATAAACAATGAAAAATTATTTTACACTGTAAATACTGGAAACAAGATGAGCAGCGGTAAGGGCAAAGCACATGACTATTTCTAGCTTTGAAACAAGTGAGGACAGCATAGACAGCGGCAACACCCAGTCCTTTCACTGTGCTCCGGGAGGGACGGTGTGTTCATATTTCTGCTCACAGCTGTCTCGCTCTCCTCCAGTGTGTGGGAAGCCAAAGAACCCAGTGGACCAGGTGCAGCGCATCATTGGTGGCTCTCTGGACGCCAAAGGCAGCTTTCCTTGGCAGGCTAAGATGATCTCCCGCCATAATCTCACTACGGGGGCCACGCTCATCAGTGAACAGTGGCTTCTGACCACGGCCAAAAACCTCTTCCTGAATCACACAGAGAATGCCACAGCAGAGGACATCGCCCCTACCCTGAGACTCTTCGTGGGAAAAAAGCAGCCCGTGGAGATTGAGAAGGTGGTTTTCCACCCAAACTACTCCACAGTAGACATTGGGCTCATCAAACTCAAGCAGAAGGTGCCTGTCAATGAGAGAGTGATGCCCATTTGCCTGTCACTGAAGGATTATGCGGAGGTGGGGCGCTTGGGCTATGTGTCTGGCTGGGGGCGAAATGCCAACTTTAGATTTACCGAGCGTCTCAAGTACGTCACGCTGCCTGTTGCTGACCAGGACGAATGTGTGGAGCACTACGAGGGCAGCACAATGCCCGAGGAGAAGACCCCGAAGAGCCCTGTAGGGGTGCAGCCCATCCTGAATGAAAACACCTTCTGTGCTGGCATGTCCAGGTACAAGGAGGACACGTGCTATGGTGATGCTGGCAGCGCCTTTGCCGTTCATGACCGGGAGGAGGACGCGTGGTATGCAGCTGGGATCCTGAGCTTTGACAAGAGCTGCACTGTAGCCGAGTATGGCGTGTATGTGAAGGTGGCCTCCATCCTGGACTGGGTTCAGGAAACCATGGCTGACAACTAATGCAAAGCCGGCTGGAAGCCCTTGACGGTAGCAAGATTTTACCCTGGAAGAGGGAAAGGTGGATGGGGTAGGATCGGTTCTGAAGCTGATGGGCATTAGCCCTCACTTCTGTGTCAAATTAGTAAAGAGCCTGCTTTAGACTCATTTCTGAGCCTGCTTTAGACTCATTTCTGTACTGGTTTTGGTTGGGAGCCTTTTGTTCTCTCATTTAGGATACTGGGCAGCCAAGTGACAGTTTGCTGGGAATATGTAGCTCTGCACTTCTGTGTCAATTAATAAAGAGCCTGCTTTAGACTCGTTTCTGTACTGGTTTTGGTTGGGAGCCTTTTGTTCTCTCATTTAGGATACTGGGCAGCCAAGTGACAGTTTGCTGGGAATATGGCACAACTGTCCAAGCCACTAAAAATCCCTGAGGTGATACAAAGTGTCCCACATTAAGGAGTCATGCTCAGTGATTAGGTGCCTACTAGATACCAGATGTAACAGCTCATCATTACCCGTTTTAGACAAGGAAACACAAAAGGCGCGGAGTGCTTTGCCTAATGCTACATGGCTGTTTCATAGGGAAGTCCAACTTGAACCCAGCCCTGTCTGAATGCAAATGCAGAGCTCTTTTTACTTGTCTCTTGCCTCTTTGAAGAGAATTAGCAGGGAGGGTGCCGGCCTGGAAGGGAAGACATTAGCTCAAGGGTGAAAACAAGGGTTTGCACACAAGAGGTGCTTTTACTGATTGTGCTCCCCGCTACCAGGGTCCCAGAAAATAAAGCAGCATAACGGCAGGACCTCTGGACTTGCTGGGTCCAAAGCAGCCCAGCACACAGCTGTGCTGAATGCTGTTAAGCCCCTTGGCTATAATCAGTTTCCTGGTCTCTTTCATGAGGGGCTTAAACTAGATAACCTTTGTAGTTTCTACCAGTCACAAGGCTCCAGGACATTTTTTGAGTTGAGTCTCTTCTTCAGCAGGAGGTACTTTTCCGACTTGTAACCCAGCCTCTCCCAGGAGTCAGATACAAGCAATGTAATGTTCTACTGTCCAGAGATAGGATCTTGATACTCAGGATCTCCCAGGAGAAAGATGAGCAGAAAGCTCTCTGAATCCTTTGTGCTCCAATCCTCTAGTGATCCTCTGCTAATTTACCTTCTCATCATGCCAAACATATGGCCTTTCCTTCTCATGGTGTGAAATGCCACCAATGTCACAATGTTCTCACCAGGGGCTGCTTTTCACTGGAAGCTCTCTCCCCATGTACTTTCTAGACATGTAACATTCCAACTGGTCAGAGCAAGGGCACCAAGAGGGACTGAGACCTATGTTCTGGAACCTGTGAAAGAAGCAACTGCCGGATGCTGAAAAGTAATACAGACACTTACAAAAAGCCTGTCAGGATGCAGTGACTTACACCATTTTCTTTTGGCAGTATCTTCAGCACTAAGTTTTCTGGAAGAAACCACCCATTATGATTGCATTAAGTGGGTCTTGGCCATACCCGGGAAGGAAGTGATAAAAAATCTCTGCTATATTCTCCATCACTTTATCCTCTCTGGCTGCTCCCTCCCACCTAACTGGCCTCCTCCTTGGCTTCCTGCAGTGCACAGCCTGTGTTGTTCTCCGAGCTCCCCCTGCCCTTAGGCCCTTTGCTGAGCCTCCCTGTCTGCGTAGGGACCTCCCCCCAAGACTTAGGTGATACCTCCTCTAAGAAACCTTTATCCTTGTCCGGGAGTCACCTGTATGTAGAACCTAGCATTTTATGGGGCATACAGCATGTACTCCATAAATTTCTTGTGGAATAGAAAGCACCTAAAGCATAAACTAGGACTTCCAGGAACGGTAGGAGAGTATGTATGCAAGTTCTTAATTTTTACTGTTATCTGGGCACTGTCTGCATACCAAACCCTGTACTTTAGGCTGAAGAAAAGAAAATCTGATTAAAAGTAACTTATGCAAGGAAGATATTTTATTCTTTCATAGAATTCTGAAGGGAGGTAGGTCTGGAGTTTACTCAGGACTTCAAAAACATCATCAGGGGTCATAATTTTTTTGATGGTACTGGGAATTGAACTCAGGACCCTGCATATGCTACATAAGAATTCTGCCACTGAGCTATACCCCCAGCCCTTTTTAAGGATTCTGAGACAGGGTCTGTTTACTTGCCCAGGCTGGCCTCCAACTTGAAATCCTTTTGTCTTGGCCACCCAAGTAGTTGGGGATACAGGTATATACTACCACACCTGATGATCACTCTACTAAAGTTATTCTCAGCATAATAATTTTTCATCTGGATGCTGGTTGCCTCACAGGCCCAGATGCATATGATTAAAATCAAAAGCAAGTAGGGGAAGAGAAGAGACAGAGGTAGTTTTGTTTTATTCCTGGAGTGCCTCTCCTTTTACCAACAAAGGACACAAAGAGCCCCCAGGAGCCTTTCTCCTGTGGCGCATCGGCTGGACTTGCAGGGCCAATGCTGCTCTGCTCTAGGCCTCTGCTGGCAAAGAAGGTGCCTGGCCCACTCACCATGGCTCAGCGTCCATCCTCTTACTCTGGGCCCTCAGTGCCAACAGCCGACACAAGGTGAGAGAGAAGCAGAGGCTCACCCAAGTCTGCCACAAGGACTGAGGAGAGCAAAAGTTCATAAAGTCATTAGAACTGGCAAATCTTGAAAAGATACGTATTTTTTTCCTGAACAGTGCTGACTGACATCTTTGCAATCTTGAATGCCTGAAATACAGTTTTCTGCTTCAGAAATAAGTGGCAGCTCTGACTTCTGGGTGAGATCAGCATCTAAGCGTAGTTAAGTCTTTGTTTTGCTCAAGGTGGGTGCTGGATGGTGAAGATTCAAGGTCTTTTCTTTTTTCTTTGGTACTTTCCAGATAGTGCTTGCACAGCTGAGCTATATCCCCAGCCCCTCAAGGTCTTACTTCTTCAGAGACTAAACATCACAGAAGCTGCTCAAATGACCTGATGAAAGCAGCTTTAAAAGTATGAGTCAGGGGCCAAGGGTTTAGCTCAGTGGCGTTAAGTGCCTGCTTGGCAAATGCGAGGCCGTAAGTTTGATCCTCGGCACGGGGGGGAGGGGGGGCTCTAAAATGAAATGAACTTGCCTACTAGTAGTAGAGAATTTCTGTGAGAAGCTGGGGAAAGAGGGCTTAAAGATGGGAAAGCAGGAGGAACAGGTGAGGGTGTGTGGGGTGTGGGCACGTGACGCACCCATGCATGTACATCTAGGGGAGAAAGTAAGTATTTTTGCTTTTATAGGACTCTTCATGTACTTGTAAATCAGATGAACAGTTAAACTGCCCTGGCCTATGTTTGGTTTCTGTATTACCTATTAGGATAAAGAAAAGCATGGTATGAAGGGAAGTTAGAAAAGCGACCCTGGAAATTGAACAGGTTCCTTGGCTCACTTGAGCAGACAGGCAGAGACCCGGACTGCTGGACCGCTGGTGGGGCCTTCTGCTCAGGAGACGGGTATTTTACAGACAAGACAAACTCTTCTCTGCTGGACGCTGAACATGTTTCTAGGGGATTCCAGAACAACAGCACGGCTGGATTCTGGTACTGTTCCATCATGTGCCTTTCTCTTCCTCTCCAACAGCAGAAGATGTGCTAAATGTCCTGATAGAGAAGGTCATATTTGGGGATATTCTTGGGATCGATAGGACTTTGGACGATAAGTTTCCCCCTCATTGCTCCTCGATAGATTACTTCGATCAAATCTATGAAGTCTTGTTTAGTTTTGAAACTTCCCACAAACTTAGTGTGATCTGGAGACCTAGACAGCACAGAAGAGAAACAAAAGCTCTGAGGACTTTTAACAACTGCTTGCTGAAGACTTTCTGGGCAAACAAAATGAATAGTGGCTTCATTTCTTTGTGAGGAGACTCAGACATGTAGCCCGACATTTGATTTTTCTCACTTGGTACAAGACACAAGATGAAAACCAGTGCTGTGGGCCACTAACATGAAAGTGCTGGAATGTGAAATATTCTGCTTCAAAATCTAAGTCAATCACTTTGAAAATAATTACTAAGTATCATTCACTGAAAATGGAGTAGGCACAGCTTCCTTGATATTTCTGTGCAAAACCCATTAACTAGTCCTGGACTTTTAAGTTCTTGTCATTTATAGCTTTGAGTTGTTGGTATTATCAACTTTGTTTTATTTTTTTTGAGACAGGTTTCACAATGTGGTTGAGATAGGCCTAGAAATCTCTATTGTAGGCCAGCCTGGTCTTAAACGTGCAGCAATCCTGCTTCAGCCTCCCAAGTGCTGAGATTACAGGTGTGCACCACCATGCCTGGGTATGTTGGTATTATCAAGCTACTTTTTAAAATATACCTTAAGTACCAGGTATTTTTTTTTTTTCTCTTTTTATCAGTGCCGGGGATCGAACTCACGACCACCTGCTTGCAAGGCAGGTGTTTATGCCGCTGAGCTAAATCCCTAGCCCGTACCAGGTATTCTTATTGTAGAAATATTTTAGAGAAAAAAAATCACCAATGAGGCAGAAGTCACATTTGGGTGTATATCCTTCCAATTTTATGTGCATGTCTACACATGTGACTATTGTATTTTTTTCATGATAATGGGAACCATATCACAAGCTATTAGTGTTATATTTTCAATTAATGATTATTTTTTTCATAGTCACTGTACTTAAGTCTTTAAAAAATAATTACTTGGTTAAGATACTTAACACTTATATAGCATACATATACAGTGTCATAATACCTTCTAAAAGGATTGTACGAAACTAACACTTATGTCACCTGTGATCCGGGAAAATAAACAGTTTTAAAGCATTTAAGAATGGGTAGTATTTAACTCTCTTTCAAACAGATAATGACAAAACATGGCCAAGGTGTATGTACATCAACCAGAGTAAGAAATGATAAGAATATGGATATTGTCAAACTTATTTAGTATTGGGACACTAAGTAGACACAGTGGGAAATGTTAAAGAACAACTCGTGTTACTATTTCTTTTGGTACGCCTTGTTGAAGAGTGATTTGAAAATTTTCTTGAGTGGCAGATGACACTTAGGAAGAGCGAAATGTGTCTTTATTAGCTGGCAGGAAGGCTTCTTTTATAAATGCCATGTTTCAGTGCTAAAAGTTTAAGAATAACTGCATATATTGTTTTAAACAAAACTGCCGAGGAACAGAGCTACTCTGTATTTTCTAGATTTAAGGATGGTTTGTGTTTCATAATCAAGTTCCAAAATAAACTTTGCCAATCATATCTGAAATACTCTTAGTTTGTGCCAATGTCACACGAAGGGTTAAAGAGCGCTCGGGCAATAGCGTGATGCTGAGGGTCACAGAGCTAACGCTCGTGTCAACAGGTGAGCTTTGAAAGCTGCTGTGCTACAGGAGTGACTTCAAAGCCAATCTCACTTACCCATAATCCACTTTCATATGTTGCCCATTGAAGAAAAATACAGTAGATGGAATATAACTGATGTCAAAATACTGCGTGTAGACCGGGGTGTGGGCCACATCTACCAGGTATATAGTGGCCATTTTACTCAGGTCAGGAGCGGTCTTAGAAAGCTGCAGATGACAAGAGAGATGGAGGTCACAGTACCAGACGCAGCAAAGAAAACAAAAGGTCACAGAAAACCAGTATGAGAAACACAGATTATTAAAACAAACAACCCACCCCCAGATTATTCTGTTTGAGAAAATTCTTGGGCCAAGGGTCTCGCTGTCTGAGTTTCACACTGGACACAGTGTAGCCTTGGTGCTCAGAGGCTAAGTCACTGTTGACAGGGTCATGAGAGTGCCCCCGGAAAATACATTTCTCCTTTTAATTTTCTCTCCATCCTTTGTTTCTTTTTGGAGGCAGGGTTTCACTATGTAGTTCAGGCTGGCCTTGAACTTGCTATATAGCCCAAGCTGGCCTCAATCTCATGGCAATCCTCCTGCCTCAGCCTCTTGAGTGTTATATCCATGTTTGACTTTTTTTTTTTGCAGTACTGAATGTTGAATCTGGGTCTCTGCACTGAACTACTTTTCTAAGCACCTTCTGTTTTGGTTTTGTATTTTGACACAGGGTCTCATTAAGCTATTAAGTTGCTCAGGGGAGGCTTAAACTTGTGATTCTCCTGGCTCGCCTTCCTACAGTGCTGGGATTATTAACAGGAACCATTATGTCTGACTCATGTTTGATTATTTCTATAAAAGTCACCTATACTGTAGTCCCTTAATGTGGATGGGGCATAACTCAGTGGTAGAGCTCTTGCCTAGCATGCATGGAACCCTGGGTTTGCCCCCAGCATTACAAAAACAAAAGTAAAAAAACCAACATACTCACTTAAAAAAAGCTTCAGAAATATGTCCTAAGGGCTTTACATTTGCTAATCCACTTAAAACTTACCACATTTTATCAGATACTGATTCTTAAAGTCCCCATTTTATAGATGAGGAAACAAGAGCCACAATAAGGCAAAGTGACTTGTCCCAGGTGAAACAGCTCTTAAGCAGTAGCGTGGGGATTTGAACTTTAATGGCCGGGCGGCAGAATCTATGTACCTTCTTTTTTTTCTCTCTCTTTCCTCCTCCTCTCTTCCTCTATTTCTCCAGTGGTAGGGATGGCGTTCACACATGCTACACAAGCATGAAGTACACTCCCGGTCCAGATAATATATTCTTGATTTCCACAGTATTTTCCACTCCCCATAGTTTTCTGGTCCTTTATCCTCCAGGTTAACACATCACCCATTCATTTTTAAGCCACATCCTGAGGATTTTTAGACTTCATCCCACAGCGGATGGCAGCAACCAAAATGGTGTGAAAAGATCTGTCCTTAATTAAGTCTCCGGCTGTGACCAACAGAGACAAGAATACACCCACTCTGTTCCAGTCCTCCTCCTTACTAACCAGAACGTGAAGATGGGCTATGAAATCAGAAACTACCATCAGGCACGCGGTGGAGAAGCACACAAGTGAAGCACTGGCAGCTAGAGAAAGGTGGCTTCAAATCCCAGCTCTGTAGATCAATGCAGGAGGCCCCCTCACACTCCCCAGCATGTACTTCAGCCACTTGGGTATGCAGTTGTAAGGACTAAAAAGAATGTTCACAGACAATTGGTACTAAGGTTTTCAGCTCTGTCAGTGGGGAAGGACATCCGGACACATTTAGCACAGTCACAAATTTGGGATTTCGGCTCAGGGCGGGTATGTGATCAGGTCTCTGAGAGTAAACTAATAAACAAACAGCTGCACCCACATCCTGTCTGTTCCTTTCCACATACTTTGCAAATATTGATGTGACAATACGTAGATTTTTAAAATAAAAACCATTTATTAAAAAATTCACTTACAATATCATCTAGCTGCAGACAGACAGGATCCTCATCTCTCCCAAACCTGAGAACCAACACTTTCTCAGCAGTACTTTTTATTGCCTGATCTACTTCTTTTTTGCTAGTCAGTTTGGGCAACAGGAAGCTCATCTTCTAATAATCCAAATGTTAATCCCCACGTCTCTCCTGGAAGACAGCTGAAATGTTTGAAGATAGTTTAGATTGAGTTCTTGAGTATTAATTGAAAGTATTTAAAATGTAGAGTAACATATTCACATCGTTTAAGAAGAAACACTACAGAGAGGTGTACTGTGAAATCTCTCCATCCTGCATTCTCTGCTTTTAGGCCCAGTTTCCACTGTCCCATACTCCCCTCACACCACATGACTGCTTTCATTAATTTTCTCGTATATCTTCCAGAGTTTTGATAGTCATAAGAAAATATAAATGTGCCTGCATTTTCATTCTTACCTAAGAGATGGCCTACTGTGCTAATGAATGGTCCAGTGGGGAAGAGATGACTCACTTAAATTTGGTAATCTGAAGAGTTTAATTAAGGTGAGGTACAGCACAATGTAGTAAAGCTAGTAATGGGCACTGCACTCACCCCAAAGTAGCTGCCAGACCTGTGTGGTGGACAAAACTGAGTGGAGGGCGCTGTACATGAGGTCAGCTTGCATAAGGGATGTAGCTTGTTTTCCTCTCTTCTGGTGACCTGACTAATGCTCTTGCTTCTCGACTCTAAGTGAAGTCAGAGGTCCCAGGGAAGTCTGGAGGAGGAAGAGTGGCTCTGAGGAGGAATGGCAGAAGCTCAGCACACACACTTTAGCCACACTCTACATTCTGTATTTTTCAATCCACTACATGAAGACCTACCTGTATCACTACATACAAAACTTCCTGATTTCTGTCATAGCAGCACACTATTTCATTTTAAAGTCTTTTAATTGATAGACATTTGTATTATTACAAATCCTGGTTTACTGAGTTCTGGTGCACACTTTACAATGTGCACCTTATCACATAGCAAACAGCTGAATTATGTGTGTGACACTCTAGAAGGCAAAAGCAATAGGTTCACAAGTTTAAGTCCAGGCGGTGCAACTTAAAGAGACTTTGCAAGATCTTGCGTCAAAATAAGAAAAGACCTGGGCATGTAGCTTAGTGCAAAGGCCCCGAATTCAGTCCTTAGTCCTATAAGAAAGGTGTTTGAAAATGAATCAATTCCTCTTTGTTTTTGGTGTTGAATCTTCACTTTATAAGCTAGTCTGCTCACAGTAAAGACAAGACAAGGACTACTGGAATCTGGGCCATTAAATTTCCAGTTTAGTGCTATTTCTAATGTAGGAGTAACTCTTAATTCTATGACTGGAAGAAATTTTATATTTGAAAAGCTCCTTGATCAAAGGGCTTATTAATGAGGCATCCATAAGAGATCCCATCCTTGATACTTTGAATTCAGGTCTAGTGTTGGGGAGTGGTACAAAAGTTGGGGGACTTTCTTTTTCTGTATTATTATCTGGGGTTATGAATCATATTTTAAGTTACAAATTGATAAAAATTCCTAAGGAAATGATACTGTTTCAGCAAGAGTCACAATTTAAACAGGGAAGCTGACTGTCAACAGAGCCTTCATCGAACATAAATGGTAGAACAAATTACTGATCAAAGAGAAACTCAGAGAATATGGATGTCTCATCACAAGAGTTCAAACAGCACCTCCTCTACTTCACTAATAAAGAGGAGGACGAACGGTGAGGCAATGTGGAAGGCCACAAAGGACAAACACAGGAGTGGAAACTGAAGCCACAGCAAAGAAAATGTCCATATCAAAAGGTATCAACAGAGAATTCACAAAAGGTGAGGTACAAATAGAAAGTAAATACATTTGGAAAGTTAAGCTTTACAAGTAAGTAAAGCAAAGAAAATTAAAAGATACAATTTATAAAACCATTAGATGGCCAAAGATTAAACACAACAGTAATACATAATAATGGCAAGTGTGTGACTGCAGGGGCACGGATTCCTAGACATTACCGGACTGGAGAGGCACAAACCTTTTTGGAAAGAAAAATCCAAATGCCTCGACTAACAATTCCACTTCTTTTTTTTTTTTTTTTTTTTGGTACCGAGAATCCAACTCAGGACCTTGCATTTGCCAGGCAGGCGCTTGTGCCGCTGAGATATATCCCAGGCCAACAATTCCATTTCTGAGAATGAATTGTTAATAAATAACCAGACAAAAGAGCAAAAATTTACGAACTTAGGCTATTCAACACATTTATAATGGCTAAAAGCTAGAAAAATTTAAATGGTCACCAACAGGAGACTGGTGAAATAAATGACAGCAAACTTACAAAGCAGTATGTAAAAGTACAGAATTGGTTTTGGAGAAAACCTAATTGTAATGTACATATTTACATTAAAATATCTAGAAATAAATATCCCAAAACATCGTTAGTGAACATACCTGCATGTGAACGGGCGAAATTGTTTACTTTGAGGCGCGTGTCTCTAATATTCAAAATACTCGAGTATTTTAAAGATGCAGTACCTGTGGCCCACAAATGCCTGAGACCTCGACACTTACTTTACTCGGCCAAGGCTCCTCCACTCCAAGGCTGTTAGCCTTCTCGAGCAGCGAGTACGGGCAGACCGTTTCTTCCTTTCCAAGCAGTTTGCTTTGGAGCGCATTTAATCGAAAGTGACTCACTGCCTTCGCCGTCCAAGCCTCGTTGGCCCATTCACAGAAATGGAAACCGCGCGGACGCAGGAAATTAACGTGCTACCCCACAGTCCTACCCCACAGTCCAATGAGCCTAAGCGATTATCTTAGTCCCCGCCTACTTTGCCCGGCTCTGACCGGAAGTCTATTGTCTCTTCCGCCCTTATTAAATATGGATACTTCATTTTCGTTCTCCTCCCGCCCACGGGCTAGAGGCGGGGGCTTGCCTCTTAGACTAAGCGTGATTGGTCTCAAGGAGACTCGGAAGTGTCTCAGGTCACAGCAACGGAGACCCAAAGAGGAGGCTGCAACTTGGAGAGGCTACTGGCGTTTTGTCCTACACTTGGATCCAGGAACTGTTGTTTTCCGGGCCGCTCTCGATGGTACTTTTGGACGGATAGAGTCGGCCGTGCAGAGTATTATGGGACAATAATGGCGGCCTTCAAGGACCAGAATTTAGCTCTTTGAGGTCGTCTGACCCAGGGGTGGTGGCGCCGGCACCCCAAACTCCAGGACAGAAGATCCCAAGAGTCGTGGTTGGTGAGGTGGGTGTTCCTTCTTCCTTCCTGGCTTATCTTTCGCTAACCCTGGCGGCTCCAGGGCGGGTATCTGTCCGGGATTAGGTTTGGGCCCGGGTTTGGAAAGTTCCTCTTGTCCGGGTCACCCAATTTGCTTTACTTAGTTCAGAAATACTTGGCCAGCCTTGTTTCCTCCGGCTTTTCACTTTGCTGTGGTCAGGTCGTGATGTCTAGAGAAGCCTCAATGAGATCCAGGGATGCTGCCTGGGGTCGCCCCGCGTCCTTATTTGGGACTGCCCTACCCACTCCCAGACAGGCGTCACGCCTGAGTAGGGCTCCTCTTGTCTTTAACTTCTTCCTGACAGTGGTGGCTCCACCAGGCGATCTGGTGGGTGATTAGTAGTAGAATGTCATCTCCACGAGAATAGGGATTTTTAAAAAATCTGTTTTCTGTATTGTTTCTTTATTGTCAAGAAGAGCAGTTGGCTCACGGAGGCAGTGATTAATTGTTCAGCAAGCAAGTCCAGGTTTTTCTTCACTATTTTCACTGTACTTTTGTGGCCTCGTTGCCACTAATCTTTCCAGAATCAGGTCCTTAGCTCCTTATTTATGCTTCTTAGCAGCCAGTTAAATCCTCTTTGTCACACTTCTTGTTCTGTTTTGTGGATATTTTTTCTTATTGGGTTTAGAAATGTTTGATTCCCTGTTCTCTTTAAATAAGTTTAAATATATTCATTCATTTATTTGCCAAATATTAATTTTGCTAGGTACTAGGCTGAGGCAGTTAACAAGGCAGACAGCATTCACTTGCTTGCATAGAACGGTATTCTATGGATGTAATTCCAGTTCAGATGACTGCGCCTCAGTCTGAATATCCGTCTTCCTGTCTGGATTTTCTTGCATGCCTACAGATGTTACCAAAGATGTTTGCAAAATAAAACTGTTGTTTCAACTATTAAGCTTCCCATGTTGTGCTTGCAGTACTCTTTTGTAGAACTGTTCATGTTAATCAGAACTTGGCAAATATTTCTGGATTCAGGAAGTACCCTACCCCTGAACAATTTCTTTGCTTCACTAACTTGTTGGAATGAGGTGAATTATCCAAATGCCCAGCATAGATGTTTGCTTGTAAGTGAGAGATTAAGATAAATTTGTTAGAGGTTGAGCTCCAGGAAGTTTTACAGTTTCTTAAATATTTTTTGGAAGCACTGCTTTTTAATTTGATATTTTTCATGCATGTTTTTGATGAACATAGTCATTAAACTGATTTTGAACAGTGTGAGATAATTGTATCTTCAGAACACTACTGGTGCCAGGGATATATAGCTTAGCAGCACAAGTGCCTGCTTGGCAAGTTGGTGCTAAACAAAACAAAACAAAAAACACAGAACACTATTGGTCTACTAAAGTGTGTAAAGTGTTGATGGTATCCACATCCCTGGTCTGATATATCTATGTTTAAAGGGAAGACAAGGTAGAAGAACTTGTAAAAATTATTGAGGAACTCAATCATTATATAGGAGCACAGCAAAACATGACAGCAACTTTTCACAGCTACAGAGTGTGTTCGCATACACTTTCTTGTTTGAGTCTCACAATAATTCCATAGATTAGATAAAGCAAAAATTATTTCCATTTTACAGATACAAAAAGTCTGGCTAACCAAAGATTAAGTTGCTTACCATCACAAAGGTAGAAAATGTCAAGAGCCTGGATTCTAATGAGGTTACTGACTTCAAATATAGCTTCTCCTACACTACCTTTATAGATGTCATCATGGTGGAAGTAAGTGGCCCTTAGTGAGCTCTTTCTTTCCTGGATGATAGTCTCTTGGAGCCCAGTGTTTTTGGAGTGCATGTGTACATGTGTATCTGTATCTTTGGTATGTGTTGGGTGGGAAAAGGAGGATCTTTTGATCTCAGTGATTGATGGAAAGATTTTGATCAGAGGTAGAAAAGGTCGTGGCATGGGGAGATAGGGTTAATCACCTAAGTATAAGTATAGTTATTTTGGGATACAACAGAGCTAAGTCTTCTCCTGTATGTCTAGTACCAAATAGTTTCCTTTCTTTCTAGAGAAAGCACAAAGTCTATGATGGAAAGTACCCTGGAGGATGCTTCGATCCATCGGTTGGAAGGCACCGATCTGGACTCTCAAGTTGGTGGTCTTATTTGTAAGACTAAAAGTGCAGCCAGTGAGCAGCATGTTTTCAAAGCCCCTGCTCCCCGTCCTTCCTTGCTGGGCCTGGACTTACTAGCTTCCTTGAAAAGGAAGGAGCGAGAGGAGAAGGATGATGGGGAGGACAAGAAGAAGTCCAGAGTCTCCTCCTACAAGGACTGGGAGGAGAGCAGGGACGACCAGAAGGATGCTGAGGAGGAGGACAGTGAGCAGGCTGGCCGAAGTGGCCGGAAAGATAGGTGAGTTGACCCAAGAGGATAAAAGTGGACACCAGAAAATAATAGTCCATGTTTAGTTCTCAGTCTTCCCTTTGGACATTTATGATTTGATTATGAGTCTGTAAAGTTGATATTAGGTAGGAATTAGTATTTTCTTCAGAATTGTGGGAAAAATTCAAGGACAATTAAGGAATACAGTAGATGATGGGGGTTAGGAATACCTTGAGTTGTTGCCCAGATGGATTCAAGCCTGTGTCAATGGGGAGATGAGGTGGGAATGGACAGATCACTTATTTGGCATAGCCAGAGGGTTGGGGCAGATGCTTTTTCTTATGAGAGGTCTTTTACCTGTCACCCTCCCTGTTTCAGACATTATCGATCTGCTCGGGTAGAGACTCCATCCCATCCTGGGGGTGTGAGTGAAGAATTTTGGGAACGCAGTCGGCAAAGGGAGAGGGAGCGGCGAGAACATGGTGTCTATGCCTCATCCAAAGAAGAAAAGGACCGGAAGAAGGAAAAGTCACGGGACCGAGATTATGACCGCAGGAGAGACCGAGGTAGACTGTCCAGCATAGTTTCTGTTGCCTTTTAGCATCCAAATAAAGCAGGGCAGCCTTTTCCCTCTGCAGGAACTTTCATAATGCCCAAGAGTTGGGAAACCTGGTTTGTATGATATCAACCTAAGTGGTTTTGACCCTTTTAGGATTGGGACTAGCAAATTTAAGAAAAGAGTTGTTGAACTGGATTTGGTGGCGAATGCCTGTAATCCCACATTTGGGAGGCTGAGGCAAGAGGATTGCCACAAACTCCAGGCCAGCCTGGTCTGTGTGGTAGAGCAAAACCTAGACATAAAATCCAGCACTGGCTTTTCTTAGTAGTATTGTATCTTACAGACTTGTTACTATTGCAGAGATACTCAGTATAGGCTTGTCACCTGTCTGCTTCTTGAATTCTTTTGTAGAAAAATAGTAACTGTTACTGTGAGTTTGAAACTTTCTAACCAGTAACTGTTTTTTTCCTTGAAAGAATGGGAATCTAGGGCCGGGGATTTAGTTCAGCTGCATAAACGCCTGCCTGGCAAATGCAAGGTTGTGAGTTCAATTCCCGGTACCACAGAGAGCCGAGCGTGATGGCTCATGCTTGTAATGCCAGCACTCAGAGAGCTGACGTGGTGGCTCATGCCTGTAATCATAGCACTTGGAAGGCTGAGGTGGGAGGATTGTTGCCAGTTCGAGACCAGCCTGGGCTACAAAGTGAACTCAAGGCCAGCCTGAACTGCATAGGGAGACGCCGTCTCAAAAAAAAAAAAAAGAATGGGAATCAGTTAGTTTCAGGAACTTGTGGACCACATTAGAGCGTGTACCCGGGAGTGAGGCAGGGCCTGTCTTTTCTCTAGGATGCAGGTGGTTATCTGTCAGAATGGGACACATGGTTTTAAAGTCTTTATGTGACTTCACAGATGAGCGGGACAGAAGTAGGCACAGCAGCAGATCAGAGCGAGATGGAGGCTCAGAACGCAGCAGCGGCAGAAGAAACGAACCAGAGAGCCCACGACATCGGCCTAAAGGTGCAATTCTTTCCTGTGGTAGGGTGTGGAGTCTCAGGTGTCCAGACAGCAGGGTGGCTTTGCTGAGGTAGATAGAAGTCCCAAGTCTACCTTGAGCCTTTGGAATGCTGGGCTGTAGTCAGGTGGGCACAGTCCTGTCCCTGTCTTTGAACGTGGTTGTGCTTCCTCTAGGTGATGAGCTCCTTGTGAATGACCAGTTTTCCTAAAGGCAAGGAAGACTAGACAGCTAGGGGCTCACTAAACATGTATTAAAAAGAACCATTTGTATTTTGGATGGATATGTTTGCAGGAAATTGAATATTCCTGAAAATGTTGCAAACACAGAGGGAAAAGTGGCTTATTAAATTCAGAGCTTTAAAAGCTGTCAAACCGTCTTATTCATTACAAATAGGTACAAGATTTATAAATAATAAAATAAGTTGGGGAAGTTCACTTTTGGCTAGTGGTTCCCCTTGGTGAACTGATGTGTCCTGTGGGTGTGTCTTTTGTGACCCTAGATGCAGCCACCCCATCAAGGTCCACATGGGAGGAGGAGGACAGTGGCTATGGCTCTTCTAGGCGCTCTCAGTGGGAGTCGCCCTCCCCGACACCTTCCTATCGGGACTCTGAGAGGAGCCATCGGCCGTCTACTCGTGATCGAGACAGGTGCTGTCTGGGAGGAGCAGCCTGGGTCTCAGCACTGGTGGAGAACGGGTTTGGGCAGGGAGCATTCCTGGTGGGCCAGGGAGATGTGGCTCAGCTCAGTGACTGTTGGCCTGCTGCTTCCCAGGTCTGTCAGGAGCAAGTACTCAGATGACACTCCTCTACCAACCCCATCCTACAAATACAATGAATGGGCTGATGACCGAAGGCACTTGGGGTCCACCCCGCGTCTGTCCAGGGGCCGAGGTGAGGCCTGGGGGCAGGAGGCAGAATTTGGTTCACCTGGGTGAGGCTGAGCAGAGGTGGTGCTCCTGTAGCAAGGCGGCTTTGTGGATCTGTTGGGGGCCCTTGGTAAGCCAGGCACTGACCTGCTGCCTGCTCTCCTTCAGGAAGACGAGAAGATGGTGAAGAAGGGATTTCATTTGACACGGAAGAGGAGCGCCAGCAGTGGGAAGATGACCAGAGGGTAAAGGCGCCTCTTTAAGGGCTGACAGAAGGGTGATGGCAGTCTGTAGGGATGTGGGAGAACAGAGGTGGTAGAGCCCAAGGTCCCCGGATGACCCTGCTGTGGGGCTGGACTCTGAGGCCTGTGGTTAATGCCTTTCAGCCTAAAGCCAGGAGTCTCCCCTGGAATCTCCAGGTTGTGCATTGTAGCTCCTCTGCTCACCAACTCCTGTTAGATGGTGGTGCCACCGTGTGGTAAAGCCGTATAAATTCAGACAGAGCACTCACTGTCATTCTCTTCCAGGTGGCCTCTCACCTCACTGTGGCTGTTTCCTGGCCTCATGACTTCTTACCAGATACCTGGTCCCTTTTGGCTGTGTCTGGCCTGTAAAATGACCTGTCCCTTGTTCTGCTCTGCAGCAAGCTGACCGGGATTGGTATATGATGGACGAGGGTTATGATGAGTTCCACAACCCCCTGGCCTATTCCTCTGAGGACTATGTGAGGCGGCGGGAGCAGCATCTACATAAACAGAAGCAGAAGCGCATTTCAGCCCAGCGTAGGCAGATCAATGAGGTGAGGCTGCTGGCAGTGGTTGACTCAGATTTAAAGGTGGAGGGGGGAGTGGGGGGAAAAGCCAGGTCTTGCCAAGTGGTAACAGCACAGCTAGTAACCCATTGCTGAGAGACCTACATCTGTTACTCTGTTAGGAGGATTTAGGGTGGGCAGCAATCTTTGACTAGCTTAGAAAACTCCAGCATGGGCTCCTGTCTTCCTCAAGAGGTTGAGGGGCCTGTGCATGGGATGGGGCGTTGGCACCTGCCTCTGAGTCTGAGTTCTTTGTGTCTCTAAGTGGGGCTACTGATGGTCACCATTCATGTGTCTGGCTAGAAGTTCTCACTTAGATCTAAGGTCTTGGTTCTTGCAACAAAGAACTGTGGGTAATTTGGGTTGGATGATCCTTTGTCTAAGGAGCATCTGGGTAGAGAGCCCTGTGATATTGCTATGGTCGCCAGGGCCCTTCTGTTTGTAGAATGGCGTGTGGACTTGGCTTGTGCCCTTCAGGATGACTTTCTGGCTGCAGTCTGAGTGTGGCTCGCATTGTGTCCCTGCAGGATAACGAGCGCTGGGAGACGAACCGCATGCTCACCAGCGGGGTGGTCCACCGGCTGGAGGTGGATGAAGACTTTGAAGAGGATAATGCAGCCAAGGTGCATCTGATGGTGCACAACCTGGTGCCTCCCTTCCTGGATGGGCGCATCGTCTTCACCAAGCAGGTGAGGCTGCTGTGCCAGAGGAGGACCCAAGAGGAAGGAGAAAGTCTCACATCCGGATTGGGCAGCCCCACATCACCTCTGACATTTATTAGGGCCATTGTGAAATGAATTCTGGTTGGCTTTAGTGAGCAATTTCTCCTCTTCTTCCACTTCTTACAGCCAGAACCGGTGATTCCAGTCAAAGATGCCACTTCTGACCTGGCCATCATTGCCCGCAAAGGCAGCCAGACGGTGCGGAAGCACAGGGAGCAGAAGGAGCGCAAAAAGGTCAGTTTTGTCACTGAAGTCTGGAAAATCTGCAGATTTTTCTTTTTCCTTTATAAAAATCTTAAGAGAGCACAAAGGTAGGATTCCTGTTGGAAGAGAGGGGAGCAAGAGGTGGCCATTGGAGAGGGGTGCTGTGTTCCCATGTTTGGCTCTTGGTCCAAGCATCCACAGGGCCTGGCGTTGGGGAGCTGAAGCTTGAGACTGGGATGTGTGGCATGGTGCCACCAGGGCCAGGTGGGAGCTGCCACCTGCTAGTTGAAGCCTCTTGTTAACCAAGATTGAGTTCTGTTGCCTACATCATGTCACAGGATGGAGTGGTGTGACTTTTCTTGTCTTCCTCAGGCTCAGCACAAACACTGGGAACTGGCGGGGACCAAACTGGGAGATATAATGGGTGTCAAAAAGGAGGAGGAGCCAGATAAAGCTCTAACAGAAGATGGGAAAGTGGACTACAGGTGGGTAGTCTCTGCCACAGACAGTGTGCTCCAGAGGTCAAAGGCAGTTGCAGCAGAATTGACAGGCTTCATGTCTTACAAGTAGAAGAATGATGTCACTTGGAATCTTTTGATCTCTTCTGATACTTTCTTCCTGGACATTTTTTTTTTTTTTTTGTCTTTAATTATAACTAGATACCACGCCACAGCCACTACCATAGGTGATTCCTGTATGCGTGTGTTAATATGAGTACAGAGAGGCCTAGGGAGGTTAATAACTTGTTTAAGGTAAATGGTAGGGTTAGAGGCAGAGCTACATAATCTTGCTTTGGTGTCCGTGCTCTTTGCTATTTGGCTGCAGTGCCTTTGAGGTGTTTAAAGGTGGGAATTTGAGTCAGACTTCAGTTCAATATAAGGAAGAATGTTTTAACAGAGGTTCTAAAATAGAAAAGATTGTCTTATCAAGTATTGATTTCTTTGTTCCTAGAGGTATTAGACAGATGTTGGGTAACTGCTTATTGGGACTTCTGCATTGGGTTAGTGGTAAGAACTCAAATGTCCCTCATGAGTCTCATCCTTTAAACCTTCTCATATACTACTGAGCCCTCATTTGAGTTAATAAATTTCTCTATCATCATGTGAAATGTTTCAGATGAGAAGCTGGTATTATTCATCAACCTTATTGGTCTCTGAGTATTATAATCCCTTCAGTATCAGTTTCTGTTAGGTGATCAGGAAGGACTAGGTAAAATTAGAAATTAGCCCAATGGAGCATGAGGCAGGTTTGAGGGAGGAAATACCCTTTGGAGTAGGCGGTGGAGAGGGACTGGAAAATGCCATAGTACTACTGGTTTTGGGAAGGTATTCATGCATTAAAAAAAAAAGTAGTTTCATTAGATGCTGCAGGTAAAAATGAAGTGAATTCATAGTTCTTTAAATATAAGGCTTGTGGACTATGCCAGCCTATCAAGAGAAGGGAGGAAGTTTGACCTGCACCCTGTGCTCTGCAGCCATAACTCGTAGGAGACTATGGAGATGGGGCTGTTTTAGCCCTTTAAGTGTCATGTGGCAATTGCTCAAAGTGTTCTCTTTAAGGTGTTCCATATTAGGGACCTGGTGGTTGATTTTTGTGCCTCCTCTGGTCATGCTGTATTGAGGGCAGAGGATTTGGCCCCTCAATCATCTGTGTGGCTCTGTTTGACCCTAGAGGGTTGAGTGTGTTGTGGATGATGGATTCTCATACCACAGTTCCAGGCCCAGCAAGAAACGAGATCAGATTACCTGGCTGCTTTGCTATCTTGGAGATTTATTGCTTCTTGTCAAAGTCATTCTTATTCCTGGGAGCAAGAAGAAGGGCAATAATGTAGCCAGGAGGGACTGTGGGAAATAGTGCACGGTGTTTAGGCTGCTGTGAATGTTCTCAGGACGGAGCAGAAGTTTGCAGACCACATGAAGAAGAAAAGTGAAGCCAACAGCGAGTTTGCGAAGAAGAAGTCCATCCTGGAGCAGAGGCAGTACTTGCCCATCTTTGCCGTGCAGCAGGAGCTACTCACCATTATCAGGTAACGTCACCCAGGCCTGGGATCCCAGGGTCTAATCAGCATTTCCCCATCTCCCTCTGTTTGCTCAGGAGCTCTTTTTCTTCTGCGCACTGTGTCTGAAGTAGAAGGGACCCCATTTGTTTTTCCCCTAACCTGGTCACCCTGGACTATGCTGCATAAAGGAACAAGACAGCAAATTTGATTTTAGCACTGTTTAAACCTCACTGTGTGCCAGATGTTTCAGGTGGTAGCTCTGTGAGAGGTGTTTTCCCAAGGAAATCCTCCTGACTAAGCAAGCCTGCTCCTTGGCTGGCCAGAATGGTGACAGGAGTGGTGGAGGTTTCTTGGATTGGCCTTCCTCATGCTGCTCAGCCCTTTCCCTGCTCTTCTCTACTCTTCCTCTGTAGAGACAACAGCATCGTGATTGTGGTTGGGGAGACAGGGAGTGGCAAGACCACCCAGCTGACCCAGTACTTGCACGAGGATGGTTACACAGACTATGGGATGATTGGGTGCACCCAGCCCCGGCGTGTGGCTGCCATGTCAGTGGCAAAGAGAGTCAGCGAAGAGATGGGGGGAAACCTGGGCGAGGAGGTGAGTGGGTGGCAGGGTGTGTGCTTCCACTCAAGGGTGTGACCTGGACCCCAGCATGGGGTGTGATGTGGTAAGCTGGTGACCATAGCTTCTGAGCCCTCTGCTGGACCTCCAGGTGGGTTACGCCATCCGCTTTGAAGACTGCACTTCAGAAAGCACCTTGATCAAATACATGACTGATGGGATCCTGCTGCGGGAGTCCCTCCGGGAGCCTGACCTGGATCACTACAGTGCCATCATCATGGACGAAGCCCACGAGCGCTCCCTCAACACTGACGTGCTCTTTGGGCTTCTCCGGGAGGTGAGGGTGGTGCGGTCCCTATGAACACATAGGGCTTTGACTAGTGCATGGCCAGTAGTTAGTGAGAGGAGCAGTCCAGGCGGGCTGGGGCTGGTCTGGAGATGCTGAGAGGGGGTGTATGGCAGGCAAGAGTATGGCCCAGAAGCCTTTGGGTTGCCAGGATTCTAGTTTATTCTGTTCTTGCTCAGCTGAGCGGCTCTCCCACTCAAGACCTTAGAAGTGGAAAGTCTAATATATCAGTGTGCCAGCTTATTTGGGGGTAATGTGATAAGCCTGGAGTCCGGAGCCAAAGGTCTCACACCTGTAGGAGACTCTTACATGACTTCTTCTGGTAGGTTGTGGCACGGCGATCAGACCTGAAGCTCATTGTCACATCAGCCACTATGGATGCAGACAAATTTGCTGCCTTTTTTGGAAACGTTCCCATCTTCCATATCCCTGGTCGTACCTTCCCCGTTGACATCCTCTTCAGTAAGGTACTCATCTTCCGTGTCATGTGCTTCTCTGCTGTGAATCCATTGGGAAGGGGTAGGGAGCCGAGTTAGAGTGCTGTGGGGGCAAAATGGGGGGCCTGAAACTGTGGGGCTCGAGGGATCCAGGATGGTGCTGTGGAGGTTTTGTTTCATTATTTCTTTGGAGCTGTAGTTGGGGTCTCATGGTAAGGCCTGGTGTAGGTGTGGCAGCCCAGAAGGTCCATCACTGCTGCCCAGAAGGGCTCATGGCCTTGGGGTTCCTGGTGCATGTGGGATGCCTAGCCCTGTTGCCAGTGCTCCCTCTGACTGCTCCTGGTGGCTTCGCAGACTCCGCAGGAGGATTATGTGGAGGCTGCAGTGAAGCAGTCCTTGCAGGTGCATCTGTCGGGGGCTCCAGGGGACATTCTGATCTTCATGCCCGGCCAAGAGGACATCGAGGTGCGTGTGTTGGTCCCACTGAGATGAACAGGTGTGTCACCCCTATGAGATGACTCCAGAGCCTCATGGCTTCTCCGGGTGCCTTTCAGGTGACCTCAGACCAGATAGTGGAACATCTGGAGGAGCTGGAGAATGCGCCTGCCTTGGCCGTGCTACCCATCTACTCGCAGCTGCCTTCTGACCTCCAGGCTAAAATCTTCCAGAAGGTGCGACACAGGAATGTCTTGGGCCCCGCCACTGGGTGTCTCCTTTGTCCTCCACAGGAGGGTGAGAAGGAGGGATGTGCCTTCCTGTAGTGGGTGGGCGGGAGGAGGGCTCATCCCTGCTTTGTGCAGGTTTTCTCATCTGGGGGACTCAGCTTTCCTTTCTGGATGTCCTGCTTGGTCGTAGGCCCCGGATGGCGTTCGGAAGTGTATTGTTGCCACCAACATTGCTGAGACATCTCTGACTGTCGATGGCATCATGTTTGTTATCGATTCTGGTTATTGCAAATTAAAGGTAAGGGAAGATAGAGAAGGTGGAACTCCAGCTTCTCATGAGCCTAATTCAGCTGGGGCTGGGAAGAGGTTAGGACTAGTCCCCCACCTGTTGTTAGGGCTTAGTGATACTGCTTTTGCCATGTGCTTGATTCATTTCATCCTTTTTGTTTGTCTTTTTGAGACAGGATCTCACTATGCAGTTCAGGCTGGTCACTTTGTAACCCAGACTGGTCTCAAACTTGCAACAATCCTTCTGTCTTGGCCTCCTGAGTTTTGGGATTACAGGCTTGTGCTAGCATGCCTGACTTTATTTCATCTTTGTGATTACTCAGTGAAGTGTAGATAATTTAAATACCTCGATCTAGATGCACTTGCTGGTGTTTATGGGGAAACCTTCCTTAGCTATCGATGAGAATATTTCATGAGGCTCCTGGTTCCATAAATTGACTGCCTCTACTGCCCATCCTTCCTCTGTGAAGGGTTTGTCTTTGTCTCAGGGATGTTTTCCTTCCCCACACTGTCCTCAGTCAACTCCTTTCTGCCCCCTGCTAGGTCTTCAACCCTAGGATTGGCATGGATGCTCTGCAGATCTACCCTATCAGCCAGGCCAATGCCAACCAGAGGTCAGGGAGAGCTGGCAGGACGGGCCCAGGTCAGTGTTTCAGGTAGGAGCCCTGTGCCAGCCTGCTCTCCGGGGCAGCGCTGGGACTGCTGGCTGTGGAATCCAGGCTGGCGGGTGGGATGCTGGCTCTAGCTGATTCCCAAGCTCAGGGGCTGTTGGCGGGCTGCCACTTCATGGTGCCACTGGAGGGAAGGAGTGGCCTTGTGGGGAGCTCTGAGCTCTGGGGCAGACTGTGCAGAAGGTACCTGCTGTGGAAGACTGGTGATTACGGCAGGCTGCACTCGTGAGGATGTAACTGAGCACGGGACAGCATTGGTTCTTCTTAACCCTTCCAGTTATTCTTTCTTTTTTCTGTTCCAACTTTTAAAGATAATATATTCATTATAGAAATTCCATAAATACGGAAAGACATTAAGAAGACAAAACCGTACCATAATTCTAGTTCCACATACTTTGGTTCCAGAAATGAAAAGGCATGTAGGATGTAGAGGACTCTGGAGGAAAAGCTGAGTTAGCAAACCTGAGTTTTGAGTAGGTAGAAATGAATGATTCGGAGAAGTGGGAATTTCCACTGCCTGTGGGATTTACTGACCACTTTGGGGTGTACTTGTGGTGTGAAGCCAGAACAGTGCTGACCTGCCATGCAGTCCCTGCAGCAGCCAGGCATGTGTAAGGGGCCGGCAGGCCATCGTGGGACTGGTGCAGTGAACTGGGTCTTCGTGGCAGGCTCTACACGCAGAGCGCCTATAAGAATGAGCTCCTGACCACCACGGTGCCCGAGATCCAGAGGACCAACCTGGCCAATGTGGTGCTGCTGCTCAAGTCGCTTGGGGTACAGGACCTGCTGCAGTTCCACTTCATGGACCCGCCCCCAGAGGACAACATGCTCAACTCCATGTATCAGCTCTGGATCCTCGGAGCCCTGGACAACACAGGTGCAGTGACCCAGGAGCTGGCAGGGATCCGAGGGTGCTGATGCTTGGCTTCACTCCCTTTCTCCCACTGTCCACTCAGTGTCTGGGTGTGCTCATTTCCCCAGGTGGCCTCACCTCCACAGGGCGGCTGATGGTGGAGTTCCCACTGGACCCAGCCCTGTCCAAGATGCTCATCGTTTCCTGTGACATGGGCTGCAGCTCTGAGATCCTGCTGATCGTTTCTATGCTCTCGGTCCCCGCCATCTTCTATCGGCCCAAGGTGGGGAGGGGGTGCCTGGCCCTGCTTTTCCCAGAGGGCTTGAGGGAATGTTGGCAAGGGAAGAGCCTCTGTCCATACGACGGAAACAGAACAAAGGGGCAGAAATGAGTTTTCAAAGCACGGCTTTGCTGTCTTCAGTTTGGCAATTTGGGGGAGAGGCCGGAGTGGGTGGGCTGTGGTCCTCTTTTTGGAAATTTGCAAGATTGTCTTTTGTCTTCTAGTATGGTTGTGCCACCTTTTAACTAATTAATTGAATTAACTTTGGTTGTGCCACATTTTAGCCTATTATAAATTTTCTTTTCTTCCGTGTCATTAGGCAACATATGATGTGCTTGAAGTTTGTGGGCTGGGGGTAGAGTGAGAATCCCTGAGATACCTGTGGTGGGCCTAGACTCCCCCAGGCCTACAGTAAAAGCTCTTTTTCTTTCCCTAGGGCCGAGAGGAGGAGAGCGATCAAATCCGGGAGAAGTTTGCTGTCCCTGAGAGTGATCATTTGACTTACCTGAATGTCTACCTGCAGTGGAAGAACAATAATTACTCTACCATCTGGTGTAATGACCATTTCATCCATGCCAAGGCCATGCGGAAGGTAGGGCAGCAGCCGGATTAACAGGATGTCCGGAAGAGGTTGAGCGGGAAAGGGAAAGAGGCTGAATCCCCGACTGCCTGTGTCCTGCTTTAGGTCCGGGAGGTTCGGGCCCAACTGAAGGACATCATGGTGCAGCAGCGGATGAGCCTGGCCTCATGTGGCACCGACTGGGACATTGTCAGGAAGTGTATCTGTGCTGCCTATTTTCACCAGGCAGCCAAGCTGAAGGTGAGCCCTGCAAGCCCCTTCCTGCCATGGCACCATGTGAGCAAGAGCTCGTCCTGTTATAGTGTACGTCTCCAGATCCAGGCTTCTCCCCAAACCTGTGTCAGGATAGCATTTAGGGGGTTGCTACCCAATAGACACCGTGTGTATGTGTGTTTATGTGGGTGTATTTTGGTACCAGGAATTGAACTCAGGACCTCGTGCTTGCCAGGCAGGCGCTGTACCACTGAGTTCTGTCCCTGGCCCAACAGTGTGTCTGATGAGCAGCCTGTTGTGTCTCTTTTCTAGGGAATTGGGGAGTATGTGAATATCCGCACAGGGATGCCCTGCCACTTGCACCCAACCAGTTCCCTCTTCGGAATGGGCTACACCCCGGACTACATAGTGTACCATGAGTTGGTCATGACCACCAAGGCAAGTCTCTTCTAAGTTGCTCATATAGCATGGCATAATTCCACTCACCTGGGCCGGAGTTTGTAATGTGTTTGAGCTTTTGGTCAGAGGACTTTAGCACATGCTTTGCTTTGTGGGGTCTTTGAGGTTGGGTGCCTGGGGAGCTTTATGGAGTTAACTTCTGGACTACAGCGGCTTCAGGCCTGCCAGAAGGTGTTTTTCTACTTCCTGCTGTGGATGGCAACCCCTCCTGGGTCACTAGGAGGGTTTCCTGAGGAGCTGGGCCATTTTTCGTGGACACTAAGGTGGGAGGTTCTGTCAAGCATGGGGAATTTGGATGGGAGAAGACCCAATTCCAGTATCTGGGGCTTTCCCCTGCCTTTACCAGCCTTGAGGGGCTGGGGAGGGCCTTTCTCATGTGGGCCCTACTCGTGGAGCCACTTAAGACAGACACTGGCCCCATGACTTCTGCTTTGCTGTCCCTCTGCCCTCAGGAGTACATGCAGTGTGTGACCGCTGTGGATGGAGAGTGGCTGGCGGAGCTGGGCCCCATGTTCTACAGCGTGAAACAAGCGGGCAAGTCTCGCCAGGTAAGGGCCTTGCTTCTAGTGGCGGTGCTCTTTGCTGTGGGATTGATATGGTCTGTCATTGTCTGACTCCCTTACGTCTCCAATCAGAAAAGCTGGATTTCCTCCTGCCATGCCAGTGGCTTGGTTAGAGTAGAAGCAATGATATAAATAAGTTCCTATGAATTTGTCTCTTGGTCTTCATAATAGTCAACATTTTTTCAGTCTTATTCTGTTGGTGTCAGCCTGGTCTCCATTCTGAGCTCCCTGTTACTTCATCTCCTTTAGGATTTAGTGTATGCAGAGACCATAGTTTACACCCATTATTTAAGGTTGCAAAATGTTGCTGAGCTTTTGCTTTGCCCTTTAACATAGTTCTCTCCTTATTGGGCCAAACACATCTTTATGTTTGTCCTTGACAGCTAGGTGGTAATGTTTTTTCTACTTCCTGTTCTTGGCATAATTGTAAATTTGATTAAAAAATGTAAGTTAAGTCCTAATTTTTTTTTTTAAAATTTTTGAGATGGTCTCATCAGGTAGTTCAGGCTACCCTTAAACTCACTAAGTAGTCCATGCTGCCCTTGAACTTGCAGCAATCCTCTTGCCTCACCCTCCCAAATGCTGGGACTATAGGCATGTGCCACTGCACCTGGTTAAGTTCTTACTGATGTGAGTGGAGAGCTGAGTTATGACTGTCTTAATTAAATCAGTGAAAATGGCAGGCATTGGGTACAGCAGAAATGGTGACCTTGGTCCTGGGGCAGGCAAACATATGGCCTCTTGAGTCTGAGAGTTAATGCTCTGTGGGGAGGGCCTTGGTTCATACTCCCCATCTGATGGTCATCAGCAGGCTCAGCTGTACCCTTTTTCTGTAGGAGAATCGCCGTCGGGCCAAAGAGGAAGCCTCTGCCATGGAGGAGGAGATGGCACTGGCGGAGGAGCAGCTTCGAGCCCGGCGGCAGGAGCAAGAGAAGCGCAGCCCTATGGGCAGTGTCAGGTGAGCTGCAGCCTCAGCACTGTGGGTGGGATGGAGCCATCCTGGCGAGGCCGCCTGGGAGCAGCCCTGAGGCCAAGTCATGATGGGTGAGAAGCTGGCAGTGTAAAGGTGGATTGGTGACAGTGTAAAGGCGAATTGCTTCTGGGTTGAGTGGTCACCTGTGTGGGCATAGAAGGAGTTCCGGGGAACTTTAAAGGCATGTTGCTTATTTGCAGTGCCCAGCCATCATCTATGTTTAGTTTAGAACCCAAGGCGTCTGGAGTAGCAGGTTGGGTCTTTACAGCTTTATTTACAAGCTAGGAGGTTGTAGGAGGTGGCGACGGAAGATTGCTGGGGGTACTGAATCTGGGGGTACCTGGAGTTAGGCCAGACTTAACAGGTTGAGGGCACAGTTCTCCACAGGACTGTCTTCAGTTCGTATCAGCTACAAATTTGGAGGTTACCCTTCACTTTTGAACAACTTGCTACAAATATAGGGATCCCTAGGGGCTTCCTCAGGTTTAATAATGTGCTAGAATGACTCAGAGAAAGAACTCAGGAAAGCTCTATACTTAAGGAATACAGTTTTGTTAAAGCAGAACAACACAAATTAGACTCTAACCCTAGCTAAAGTGCATAGAAGGAGGTCTGAGAGAGTCAGAGATGTGAAGCTTCAATTGTTCTTAGGGCCTAGTTACCCTGCTAGCCATATGATCAGTGACAGTGTGCACAGATCACTTGAGCAGCAGTTTGGGGTCAGGGCCGGTATGGGGATTCCATGACATTGGCATAGCTGGCTGGATCATTGCCATATGGTCGAGCTGTCCTCTGCCTTCCCTCCCTTCCCCAGTGTTCTGGGTGGTGTCACATGGCTCAGGGCCCAGCTGTGATTATGTAGTTGTTCTCTCTAGCTAGGCCAGCCCCATCTTACTCAAGATTGGCATAAAACATGAGGCGTGGCTGAAGGCCCCTGTGAACAGCAGACTAGGGACACAGGCAGGGCTCTAGCTCTGTTGCACGGCTGGAGTGTGACCTGCTGAGGTGGCTGGAAGCGATCTTCTCACTCCCCATTGCAGGAGTGATGAGCGCTATTTAAAAACCCATTTCACACATTCCTTAGTGAGGTGACTTCCTGTATTTTGTTACATTTCTGATGAAAGTGGGGAGATGAAGTGAGAGGCTAGTGTACAGGGGGTAAGTGCTTTTGCTGCAGAGCTGCCTCACACACAGGTCACAAACAGCGAGCCCTCAGCCTCCTTATCCTGCTGGGGTAAAGAACAGTGTGTTAACTGTCTCCTCTTCTGTGTCTCCAGGTCCACAAAGATCTACACCCCTGGTCGGAAAGAGCAGGGGGAGCCCATGACACCTCGCCGCACACCAGCTCGCTTTGGGCTATGAGCCGTGGCTGTCCCAGTGAAGGGACAGTGTGATACGGGATCCTGAGCCTCTGGCAGGAGCCTCCTGAGACTGTGGACTTCATCTGTGCATATATGCATAAGGCTGCTGGGGTGTTTTCTGCTTGGCCAGTCCTACAGGAGGAGGAGGAGCTGCTCGGGGCAGGAGCTTGGCAGAGCTGTGGCTGCAGGGCAGCGAGGCTGCATGAGCAGCAGGTGGCGGCCGGACCTATCTCATCCACATAACCCATCCCCAGGACGCTTGGTGTATGAGGGACTGTCTTTTTTTAATCCTGTGTAAAGCACTCAGATAGATTTAGAGGCAACTGGTTGTAATTTGAGATTTAGAATAAATTTATTATTTGTAAAACGTGATTGCATTTCTTTCTTTTCTTTCACTGCCCTAAATCCTGAATAAAGAGGGGCAAAGCCTTCGATTTTTCTTGGATGGCGCCTTCTGGAACCCTAGCTGTACCCTTACGTCCTTTCTCCAGGCAGGGCTTCTTAGAGGAGGGCTTTGCAGGGTGAGGCACAGCTGAAATTTGGAGACCTTGGAGGCATCAAGCATGAGGCAGGCTAAGTTGTAAGAATGCCAGCCAGCTGTTCCTAAGCCTAGGGGCCAAGGTGGGCTTATTTAAGGAGGCCCATGCTAATGCTTAGAATGGCAGAGGCTTCTATTCTTTGCAGGTATAGTGGCTGTATTTGACTGAAAACCGAAATGTTGCTTACTGATTTTTATGTAAAAGATGATCCTTACAACAGAACGACTAGTCTTTTTGCTAAGCAGGCTCTCAGGTATGCTGATGTGAGTTTTTAAGTGTTTACCCTTCGGTGACCGTGGTTTTCACTGTGTGATTCCTTGGTCTGGGCAGCTACCAGATGCGCTAGTTGGCCAGGTCTGTGTTGGGTGTGAGCCACCCGGGGTGCTGGGGCCCAGCAGCCCCTCACTAGGCCTGTGCTGTGTGAGCCCATGGTGCCTGGCTCACTGTGCTTTTGCCCTCCATTTCTGGTTCTTTGGATGAGTTTGGAAGCTGAGCTTTGCCAGTCAGCACTGGTTTCTACTGTGTTTCTGCTTCCATTGTCTTTGTTTCCAGTTGCCTTTATTGAGAAGGTAACCAGAAATGATTTCTCAGGGCTTTTAGCTGCGTGCCCGGGATACCTAGTCTGGGCTTCGGGAACATCTGGCCAGGACACTTGGCACACGTAGGTGTCATCAGCTGAGTGGGAGATCCCTTACCCCCAGAATTGTCACCAAAATCTGTTTGACCTTAGAACTTAGATTCTGCCTGGACCTGTGTCTCCCAGGTTTACGTATAAGAACAGAACTCTCCATTCAGACCATGTTTAAAGTTCTTCCAACACGGATTCTCACTGGCACCCTCAGATAATAGCTGAGTCTTCCTACAGGACAGAAGCATTTCTATAGTGGCCCTGTGATCTCTGTCTGACTGTGGCCCTGAAGCAGACTCATGCTTTAGACTTGTCTGACTGTTGGTCTGGGAGAGAGCCCCGTGTAGCACTTCATTTATCCTTTATGCCTAGTACATGGCGATGGCACTGTGGATAGTAGGACTAGCCATGGAGCATCTGGCGCTCAAATGGTGGCTCCTGGGGACCCCAGAAATTGACAGGCTTTATCTGCAGCAGACTTAAAAGGCAGTCTGCAGTTGGGCTACACTGAGAAGGCTCAAAAGGCAAGTTCCTATGTGGCAGAATGGTGGCTCAGGGCGCTTCTCAGGGAAAAGGAGGAACTTTATAGGGTGGCTGATGTTTGCTGTGGGCTCCTTTGACTTACGAAAGAAACATAGTGCTCTCTCTCGTGGAGAGAATCGAGGATCTGCCTGTAGCAGGATTTTGTTGGTACCAGCTATCAGAATCGGTGACCTACTGGTTAGTCACAGCAATTTTGATGTATAATATCCTTGACCAAGTTTTGTTTGCTTTGTAACTATGACTTTTTTTGTTATTGTATTATAAAATACATTTTAAGATCAGTGGCATTAAATACTTCCATAATGTCACATTTATCACTACCTATTCATCTTCAAACCTCTTAACATCCGGTGGAACTGAAACTATGCTCATTGAATGAAAGCTCTCCCTCTCCCTTTCCTGCAGCACCTGGCAACCTCCATTCTTTCTGTCTCAGTGACTGTGACGAAGTACCTCATAGAAGTGGAATGATACTACATTTGTCCCTTTGCAGTTGCTTTACAGAAATACCTTTGTTCACAAATGCTTGTTTGCAAACATTTTGGTTCTCAAAAGCATTTGGCAAAATTTTGCTTTCACTGGCAAACTCTGCATTGGGTGACAAATATGACCACAGCCATCTTCCCCACATAAATGCAAACACAGCCATCTTCCCCCAAATCGTAAAACAAATTCAGTTTGTGAACCAAGGTATCACTGCATTTCAGTTACAGCTTACATCAGAATTCCTTTATTTTAAGGGTAATATTCTATTGCATGTATCTGCCACATTTTGTTTATCTATTATTCATCTGACCATGGGTATTTTAGTACTCCCCACATTTTGGCAACTGAGAATAATGCTATTATGAACATGGGTGTACAAATACCACTTTGGGTTCTGTTTTTAATTCTTTTGGGTATGTACCCAAAAGTGGATTATTAGATCATGTGGTAATTATTTTTAATTTTTTAGGAAGCCACCAAACTTTTTTTCCATAGTGGCTGAACAATTTTATGTTCCCATTAACTCTGCATATAACTTTCATATCCTTGCCAAAATTTGCTATAGTCTATTATTGTAAACCCAAATATTGACTTCAGTCATCCAAGTATTGTTTTCTTCACAACCCAAAAAGTTATATTGGTAATCCCTTTGAGACATTATTGGAATCCCAGTAAGTTAATTCCAATCTACCACCACCAATGCAAACAATGGCGAGAGTAAAAACACCGAGACATGTTCCAAGGGCAGCCAAGGAGTCCTAAATCCAATCCCCATAAGGCCATGCGGACAAAGGCTTTGATCCTAGGCCTCTCGCAGAATTTATTATCTTGTGAAGAAGTGGGGTGGCTCAGGGATGAGTGACAGTGAGGATGGTGGGAATTATGTGAGTAATTTGAGCTGGCAGGCCAGGCGCAAGATTGGCATCTCTGTAAATTCCAGAGATAAAGATATGCTAGCAGTGGAATTGTTTTGGGGGAGCTATGGCTTTGGTTTCTGACATGGAAACTCCTGTGCTCTGGGGAGTCATAGCCTCTCATCTTGAGGCTCCTTCCCAGTTGACATTCCCAGAGCTATTTGCTCTAACATCTCTCGTGCTCAATCCTGTTCATACCTGTATTGTACTGGAGAACACTATGAGAGGAAACAGGACTGTCTGTTGGCTATAGAGATTGCATAATAGCACCTCAGCAACGCTTAGAGCCAATTGAAGAGAGAAGAAAATACTCTAGCCAGCTTTTTACATATCAGTATAAAGAAATGAGTCTCCAGATAAAGTCACAGTACTTGTTTTGGATTCAAAGAGTCACTGGAGTCATCTCCCACAGTCTATATTCTTTCTCTCATAACCATCCTACTGGGTGTCATCCCATCATAGTTATGATTTGCACTTCTCTAACAATTGTTGAGCATCTTTTTGTGTGCTGATTGGTCATTTGTAGATCTCCCTTGAAGAAATGTCTGTTCAAGTCCTCTGCCCATTTTTGAGTTTGGTTATTTCTTTTGTTGTTGAATTTTAGATCTTCTCTCTTTCTGTTTCTGGATATTAATCTCATTATATTTATTTAATTTATTTATTTATTTTGGAAATATTTCTCCCATTCTTTGGTTCACTTTTGCTTGGTAACATTGTCTTATTTTATCTTTTTGAAACAGTTTCACTACGAAGTTCAGGCTGGTCTCCACCTCACATTATAGTCCAGGCTGGCCTTGAACTTACCGTGATCCTCCCGTTTCAGCCTCCGGAGTGCTGGGATTATAGGCATGTGCCACTATGCCCAGCTAATATTGTTTTTGATGGAACAAAGTTAAAATTTTCATGAAGTCTAATTTGTCTATTTTTTTTCTTTTGTTGCTTTTGCTTTTGGTGTTATAACTAAGAAATCACCGATAAATAAAGTGCCATGAAGATTCTGCCCTATGCTTTATTCTTAGAGCTTTATATGTTTAGTCTGTGGTTTAAGTCTTTGGTCCATTTTGAGTTAATTTTTGTAGATGGTATTAGGTAAGGATTAACTTCTTTCTTTTGTATGTGGATATTCAATTTTCCCTGCCCCATTTGTGGAAAAGACTTTCCTGTTGCTCTTTTTTTTTTTTTTAATTTTATTTAAGGAGAAAAGAAAAAAAAAAGCAGGGAAAGGGTACAAGTTATACAGATTTACAGAAAAAAAATGAACAGTAGGAAATCACTAGTTAATGGATTACATATTGTCATCTTAGAAATAATTGTTCAAGTCACAAAATTAAAGCTTGTAAAGTGGACATTCCATCAATGATACTGCAAACAGTTCTGTTCATTGATCCAATAAAACTCTGTGATATCATTTTCTATCTTATACACTTAAATATACATGCAGTTATATAGTTTAGAGTACTTTCTTTTCCTCTCTTTTGTACCATGACTATTACACATTTTGGGTTTCATTGCTCCCACGGTTCTTATTACTTTTTTGGAAGAGAGTAAAACCAAATGTGACATAACAGAACAGAATCGGTCAAGTCAAAAGGGTGGACATAATAGATAATGTAAAAACATAATACAGGTGATCAACAATGGTTACCATAATGTCTCCCGCTATCTCTAATAGAATTGCCTATATCATTAGTTATAATACAATTGAACAAAACAGTAAAGAATAAAACCGACAAAACCAAAACATTGGAGACATTGTAGGTCTTCAAAAGTAGATAAAAGTCAACAAGAATGGGCGTCATAATGAATCTCATTATCTTCACAGCTGATGCCTAAACTTTCGAACCTGATACTATCCAGCAAAACAGAATAGGGGAACATCAGTTAAAAACCAGATGGTGAGAGTAATACAGGGCTTTAAATCAAGGTAATGAAAAGTCAAAATGGGTTACTATAATATATCCTGCTATTTTTTTCCTTTAATTAAAAGGATAAAGATAAAAAAGTAAATAATGGAGTGGAGATTGAGATAAAAGAGGGCATAACAACGAAACAGCGCAGATCAAAACATAACCATTTAAGCAGAATAGTGTTTCACCACCAGATAATCCTAACCTAAAAGTAGTTACCATATTGTTTCTTTCTTTGAAATCCTTGAGTACAACTTCGTATACTGTAGCATTAAGTATATCAAAACAATGTAAAACCATTCAAGAGAATGACAGCATTACAGAGTATTTAGAATCGACTAACAGAAAATGAACAATGGTTTCTGTATAATCTCCTTGTCTTTAAAAGGTTTTTGCTTATACTATCGTACATAATAAAATCCAATAAGATACAGCCTATTTAGACCATTGGAGACAGAAGGACAAAAGCTAGATGAGACTTCAAAACAAGGTGATACTAAATCAGTATTACCTATTAAGATGTCATTTTCTCCAAAATAGCTGTTCCTATCATCTAATCTTCTCTGCCTCATTTCTGTTAAGCTCTTTTTCTGTCAGTAGCTGTCAGTTTGTCTTCTTCATTTTGTTCTCTGCTCCATTTGTTGTGGCCTCCCCGCCACTATTTCTGGGTTCTTTGTATTTTTCTTTTTTTAGAATATCCTGCAATACTTTCTGTAGAGTTGAATTGGTGGTTGCAAATTCCCCCAGTTCCTCTTTATCCTGGAAGCACCTTGTTTTTCCATCAATTTCCAGGGACAGTTGTGCAGGATATCTCAATCTTGGCTGGAGATTATTATCTTTCAATGCTTGAATTATTTCCCCCCACGCTCTTCGTGATTTGATGGTTTGTGCAGAGAAATCTGCTGTAATTCTGATGGGTGTTCCCTTGTAAGTGGTCTGTTTCTTGTCTCTTACAGCTTTTAATATTCTGTTCTTGTATTGAATTTCTGGAATTTTTATTATTATATGCCTGGGTGTTGCTCTGTTTGGGTTGTAGGTAGCTGGGGTCCTGTATGCCTCATACATCTGAGTATCTTTACCTTTTGCTAAATTAGGAAAATTCTCCTGGATTATTTCTGTGAGTAGCTTTTGTAGTTCACTTGTTTGCATCCCTACTTCTTCTTTTATGTTCTTAATCCTTAAGTTATGGATCCTCTTATCATCTTCTTGTCTTTGTATTATTGCTGTTTGTTTCTTTGTTACTTTTAAGAAGTTTTTCATTTCATTCTCCCATATTACAAGTCTGCCCTCCAGTTCAGGTAGTCTGTCCTTAGTTTCTTTCAAGCTGTTATGCCAGTCTTCGATAGACTTCTTAGTATCTTGGTAGTCCCTTTGAACCTGCTTCACGTATTCTATGCTTTCTCTGTTTTCTCCATCAAACAATTCTCCCCTTTTTTTCTGTTCTTCCATTCCATCACCTGTTTTTTCTTGGGTGGTGCTTAGCATTTCTCTAACTATTCTGCATACTTCTAGCTTCAGGTCATTGATAACTTCATTCCTGAATTGGTCTATGAGGCTCTCTATATGGTGCCTTATGTGTATTGGTGCGGTGTCTGCTATTGCCTGTTTCTCAGAATTGGGGGCCGAGGAGACTTTCTTGTTGCTGCCTCTTCCCATGCTGCCTCTTCTTCTCTGTTCCTTATATATGCAAGCTTATATAAGAGGCCCAGCTTCTCTCCCAGTCAGCCACAGCCTGATCGAATTGCGCCAGTTAGGTGTTCCCGCTCACCGCTGCGCACCAGGGAGTTACGGACCAGGCAGCCTACGCGTCTCCCCTCCCGGCCACCGTCAGGCTCTGGGATCTGGGTTGGGACAGTCTACCAGGTCTGCCGGCAGCGTCACGCAGGCCAGGCACTTTTCACCAATCCCGCCCGAGAGGGGGATGTGTGGCTGGAGTCGCCACCGCGCCCTGCTCCCGCAGGACTGCTCGGGCCCAGAAAGTCCTCTGCTGGAGTCAAACTGTGGTAGAGTGTCAGTTTCTCTCACTCACCTCACCATAAGTCAGTGCACGCCTCCCTGCCGTTCGCAGATTGCCGTTCTCAGAGCTTCGGCACGTCTCTCCCCTTGCCGAGCCGCTGTAGAGGCAGCCAGCCGCTGCGCGGCGGGAAACCCAAATCGCGGCTTACAATGGCGCGGTTCCAGCCTCCACACCGAGTCTTTTCTGTTCCTGTTTTAGCACCAGGACTGCATTCCAAGTTGGCTTCTCTCAGCCCAGTTCGTTCCTGAGTCAGCAGAGCATATCTCCACCTGCTGTCTCCTTAGTCCGCACCATTCCTGGCTTCTGAGCCGAGTCTTTCAGAGAGCCGCCGGTAGTTGCTGTTATCTGTCCGCCATGTTCTCCCGGAAGAGTCAAATGGCAACTTAATTGTGTGTACTGAGCAATTGGCTAGATCTTACATCTTTGACATCCTCCATAATATATTAAAAGATCACTGTGTGTCTTTCCGGTCTGTAAGAGTCCTTCCATGAAGCCTGTAGGCCGTAGAAGTCTCAGTAAGCAGTCTAGCCGGGACAGAAATTCTCAGCACTCTCCTGTTGCTCTTGAATGACCCTGGTACCCTGGTCAGCAGTTACTGCCTACACATGTGAAGGCTTATTTCCATGTTTCTATTGTATTCCATTAATTTACATGTCTGTTTATTTTTTTTTTTTTTGCCAAGTATCATATTGTTTTGTTGTTGTAGCTTTGTAATCAAGAAGTATGAGTTCTTCAGTTTTGTTCTTTTTAAAGATTGTTTTGGCTATTGGGGGGTTCCTTGAAATTCCATTTGAATTTTAGAGTGGGTTTTTCTATTTCTACAAAACATACCATTGGGATTTTGATAGAGACTGAAATAAATCTACAGATTATACTGGGTGGCACTGACATCATAATCTTTCAGTCTTTCAATCCATAAACAGAATTTTCCATTTACTTATATCTTCTTTAATTTTAGCAATTTTTTATAGTTTTCATTATATAAATCTTTCATGTTTTTGGTAATTTCTAAGTATTTGATTCTTTTTGATGCTATTTTAAATGGAATTATTTTTATAAATTTCTTTTCAGGTTGGTCTTAAAATGTAGAAATGCAACTGGTTTTGGATGTGTTGAATTTGTGTTCTACTTTACTGAGCTCATGTATTCTAATGGTTTTGTGTGGAATATTTAAGGCTTTCTATATGTAAGATCATATTATATATGAACAGAGGTGATTTTACTTTTCCAACTTGGATGCATTTTATTTCTTTTTCCTACTTGACTGCTCTGGCGAGAACTTCTGGTACTGTTTTGAGTAGAAATGATGAAAGTGAGCATCCTTGTCTTATTCCTGATCTGAGAGAAAATTTTTTAGTCTTTCACCATTGAAAGTGTGGTTTCCTATGTGGTTTTTATTGAGGTAGGTTCTTTCTATTCTCAGTTTGTTGAATTTTGCAAAAATGTTATTGTAAACATTTCTTTTTTACTATCAGGTGTTTAAATTACTTTTTAGGAAATCAATTCTTTAGCTACTTTTAAAAAGAACTGCAGACAGGTAACACTCAGCTTTCCTGTTTTCCTCCTATGTTTAGGGAAACTACATTTCTCTGAACTCAGTTTTCTGTCTGATTGGGCTTTCATGGCCAGATTTCTGGGTTATATATCAATATTTTTTTTTGCCTTTTGCTCCCCATAACGTACTACCTGCTTTGTTTTGGTATAGTTACTCCACAGGGAGTAAAAATCAACTTTGGAAAAAAAAAGTGCAGCATTCAAAATCTTCAGAGGTTCTTATTTTGGCCAGCATACATGAAACTTTCTGGAAGTTAAAGAGATAAAGTACCTTTCTAGTAGACCAGCCTGGGATTTTAATGACATTGAAGTTGTGTTTGAATAAATGATCCACGGGTAGGACTTGGAAGCAATTTCATTAGTACCAGTTTTCCAGTCTTAGTTTTCTCTAGAAAAGAATCCCTTATTCTGAACAACATGAAACAGTCAGAAGAGCATAAACAGGCAACCAAACAGAAACTTCCAGAGATGCTTACCACCCTGCCTCACCCTTGTGAACTTGGCCTTCTCAAGTCCTAGAAGGGTCATTCTATGAAACGAATGACTATTGGTGATGAATTTGTTGGCCTTGATGTGACTGGGGGTGGAGGGAAGAATAGTTAAGAATAATTGTCGAGCTGTGGGTTTCCTCCTTCACTTTTCTTGTCCCCTCAGAAATGGAAGCTCTTTCATTTCTTTCCCTTACTTTACCCTAGTAGCTATTTGTCTCCATTTCCTACAGACTAGAAATATAAATTCTAGACATGTACCCAGTTTAACAAAATCCTACCACAATAAAGTAGTTTAGCTGTCCTTAGAGTTTGTTATAATGGGATTTTATTTGTATTGAGGTGGCTGGGGAGAAAAATAAAATTGTTATAAGGAGGAATGTAATACAGCAGCCAGGGAGGAAGCAGATGGCTTGCTCTTACTCCCCTACTTGGAAAATGTATCACTTATTTCTTTTGCTTTCAGTTGGGTCTCAGGATTATATTCTTTCCTGCAAAAAGGGGTTTTAGATTTTTTTTTTCTATTTAAAATTCATGACAGAGATGGAAGAATACAAGGTGTTAATTATCTTTTGTTGGCTTTAAAATGAATTCAGATAATCCAAAAGCTTGCTTTGGGAGAGGCCAGCATCTTTTAGGGCCCAGAATGAAAAAGAGACAACCATGTTCCCGAGGGAGGGTGAGGCAGAGATGTCTGCAAGACACCAGGCACTCTCAGACACTGCTGTGCTCATGTCTTTATTGTGGAGTTGGGCCTGGCGGTGGAAGTGTGGTTTCAAGCTTGCTGACTCCCCTGCACGAAGTGGAGCAAACTCAGTAAAACATTAACAACTTGTAAAATCGCTCGGGACCTTGATTTGTTCCTGGAAGAGCTGATGGTCCAAGTCAAGAATGAAGGGAACTCACTGTCCTCTGAAAACTTGCACAGAAATGATGCTCGGGGAAAGATGCTGATTTTAGCAATAGGAGGAACCTGAGGAACAGGGAGGAAGCGAGAGTTTGGTTTGAGAAGAAATTAATGATGTGACTCCTCAAGGACTCACCTTGTGGCCAGGCAGCTGTGCTGCAGGGTGATTCCTTCCCTCTTGAGTAACATTTTGCTTTAAAGTGTCAGGAAAAGGAGTTGCGGACCCAGGCTGAGTGGGGATGGGATGCTCTTGTGGGGTGTACAGAACTGGAGGATGATGCTTGTTCTGCCTTTGCTCACACTGCCAAAAAATCACTGGGTCAGGACGGCATGCATCTGAGATATGCAGTGCCAGGGCGTCATCAACATTCTTAGATCAGAATGGGCTTTAATGTGCTTTCTTTCCCTACAGATGTGGAAATAATTATCATTGGCCCTGGGTAGCTAAGCCAATGATCTGAGGTCATGACTGACCTGTTCTCTTCTTCTGTGAATTCCTGATCCAGTGATCTTTGAAAAAATAATATCACACTTTTTTTGGCACATGGGACTAAAAAGAAGGACATCACAGTAGCGAAAGACATGGCAGACTTACCTGAACACTGGGGCGTTCCAACATACTTGGTGATGTCCATTCTCTGGGCCGTGTCCGAGGATGACTCCCTCCAGCTCAACGTACCACACATTTTTGCCCTTTGTGGGGCCTCCAGTTTGTTCAGGCCTAGGGCTTTGCATAGCCTTGTGTTCCCAGATTTTACTTTCTTTTCTTCTATCTCACTCTTTAGCTTCTTGTTTTCTTGCTGCAGGTGGACCATCACATTGTGGAGGTGGCTGTGAAGTGGGGAAGGACAGGTTGGTGTTTGGTCTTCGAGGTCTGCTTGATTGCCTGCTGGAAAGAACTGATAAAGGTGTCAGAGGAAAGAGGGCGGGATGCTCAGTTCCTTTTGGAGCTGGGTTCTGATACTGCATGGAAATGTCCCGACATACATTGTCAGTTCTGAGCCTGGGGTCGTAGCTGTTAGATGGGACAATCAAGCCTGACTTGACTGTTGGAGTGCACAGAAGGATCCAGTTTGACAAATGAAAGAAGTTTGAAGAGTCAGAAGGCGAAGAACAATTCTGAGCATGGGTCCTTGGGTTCTCGGGTCCTTCCTAGGAAAGCCTCACTTAGGTGTTAACACTAAAGCCTGAGTTCCCAAGTTCTCTCTGCCTCCCTTTGCTGAAGAGCAGGGAGCATAGAGGATCCTGTTGAGAACTTGAGAAAATTTCCTTTTTTTTTTTTTTTTTTGTGGTTCCTGGGGATTGAGCCCAGAGCCTCGTGCTTGCTAAGCAAGCCCAGCCCTTTTATTTTTTATTTTGGTACAGGGTTTCACTAAGTTGCCCAGGCTGGTCTTGAACTCGTGCTTCTCTCTCACACAAGTTCCAGAGTAGCTCATTATTTCCATTCTAAAGATGAAGAAATAGAGGCTTCAGTGTAGGTGAGGGGAAAGGTAATTTAACCAATTCCCATGGCTCAATAAATGGCAGCTATTATCAGTAGTCACATTTCTCCAAACTAATGTTGACAGCAGAAGAGTGACAGCGGGCTTAGAAACAGGACTTCCGGAGTGGAATGCTGGCCCTGCCACGAACTAGCTGTGGGAGCAGGGGAGAGTTACCTACCACCCAGTCCCTATCTGCAAATGGTGTCTGTATCCGCAGACAGCCCCTGACTGGCCGTGGTTCGGGGTCACAGGGGTGGGGAAGTGATCCACATTCAGTGGAAAGAGTGCTTTGGAGTTTTCCCCTGACCAGTGATACGGAGTAGGATCGTCTTTCCTGGTGGTGAGCAGTGGCTGTGAGCCCCGGCACCCACTCGGCCACAGGAACACGAAGGGAAACAACTGCTGCTCTGCAGGGCACTGTGTTGCTAAGCTGTCATGTCTGGTAGGTGAGGCATACTAATATATTTCCAATTTAATATTTTCTGGGGAGTATCCCAGAATGCACCATCTTGAGTCACATCTGTATGTTGAACTAATAAGGTCTTCGATCAATGTAGGTAAAGCCCTTATAACATCTGCTAAACAATAAATGAGTTGGGCTCTTACCATTCTCATTAAAGTATAGTGGCTGAGTATGGTGGTGCATGGCTTTGGTCTCAGCACTCTGGGAGGCCGAGGCAGGGGACCGCAAATTAGAGCACAGCCTAGACAACTTAGTGAATTAACATATCTAATTAATATAAAAAGTGATTTAGCTAATTATAAGATACTAAAAACAGGGCTGGGGATGTAGCTCAGTGTGAAGGTCCTAGATTCAATCTCTGGTACCGAAAACAAAATAAAACAAAAACACAGGAAATAAGATTTCTTTTAAATAGGATCAAGCAAAACTCAAAAAATGAGTTCTTTGTGAAAAGGAACTTTCTGAAACTTGGCATAATATAAGAAAAAGCCCGAAATTATCTGGTGCTTCTCAGATTCTGCCAACTTTTAGTTAATCTCCTTTGAAAATGTTCTTTTGTCCAATGGAAAATGTCACATTCCTTTAAGGAGGAAATCAAAGAAATGGATCCCTAACCATTTTCTCTGGGTGTATGCATCATTCTCTTGCTCTTTACAAACCTGGCCAGCTCTGAACATACCTCTTCCCCTGGACTAGAGGTCAGGCACTGGCACTGCCCTCTGTCCCTGGCTGTCTGTCACTCTGTCTGCAGAATGTGTCAGCATTCCTGATGCCTCGAATATTCCTTTCTGCCATCTAGTCTTCTGCATCCTTGACTGGCTTGTTGAGGTGGTGGTGTCCTCCCCTTCCGTTTACCTCACTTAGGATCAAAGCTAGAGATAGAACTTTGCAACAGGGAGCCGCAAATGGCTCCAATTGTGCCAAGACGCTGATGCCTTCAGCCCTTGGAGCAGGATTTGGGGCAGCTGCTCTTTGGTCAACTTTGTCCCAAGCAAGTCTGTCCCACATTCTAAGTGTTCTCTGACAAAAGACCAGGAGAACTGTCCTAGGGTTTGTCATCATCAGTTCCTTTACATCCCAAATCTCCATCTCAGGGATTTATCCTGTTGCAGTTTGTGTCTAGATGTCCCCCACACGAGGCTTTCCTCATGTGGTCATAGGTGGGGCCGTGCACAGGTGGCTGGATGTGGAGTATGTGATGCTAAGAATACAGACTGGATTGGCGTAGTTCTGGGCAGAGTTACTGGTGCCCCACCCTGGGTGTGAGTGCTATTGCCTTAAGGATGGGAAGCCTGGATAAGATATAAGGGACAGGAAGAGGGTCTCTGGTGGCTTGCCTCTGGCTGCTTTGTTGTCTTCTGCTGCCACAAACTATTCCTCCTTTGTGATGGCCCTCTGCCACGCCACCTGTCTTGGTTATTTTTCTCTCATTGCTGAGACAAAATACTTGATGCCCAAAATGATGGGAAGAAAGGTTTATTTAGTTTACAGTTTTTGGAGATTTCAGTTGATACTCAGCTAGGTCCAAGGCAGGATGGCGTGGCTAAGGGGCAACTGTTTATGGCAGCCACAAGTAACACGAGTGAAAGGGTAAAAAAGGGGAAAATCATGCCTTCTTCCCTTCCTCATATTGTATACCAGCTACCTGCCCTGGGTGGGTGCAGCACTCACACCGCCAAGCCCAGCTAGACAATGAACAATCACAAACACTAGATTCAGCCACCGCCGTGACTATATGAGGCTTTGGGGGCCACCCAGACACAAACCCTAATCCACCCTGCTGTGGAGTCAGCTGATTATGGACTGAGATCTCTACAAACTGTAAGCCGAAGCAAACCTTTCCTCCTTTAACACTAGGTGTCGGGTATTTTGTCTCAGCTATGAGGAAAATTAACTAAGACAATTCCTCTACCTCTGTTCTCCAGCTTCCCACACTCCTCCCACACCCCTCTCTCCATGGATCTAGCTTTGACCATGTAGATGAGATTTAGAGAAGGCTGCAGCTGCAGGTACAAAGGACACGGTGTCCGGGGGACCTCCATCGTGGACTGCTCATCTCAGACTCCTCCATGAGAAGACGTTCTTTCTGTGTGCCTTCGCGGGGATCTCTGCTACACTAGCTGCACCTTTCCCTTTCCTGGTACCTGCCCTGCTCTCAGCATTGCCCACTGGGACTCACAGCGGGGAGGAGGCAGGAGCATGGAGATCGGTGTACCCTCTTTGTACTTCTGGGAAGGGAATTTAGGCCTAGTAAGCTCATGTGATGTGCCACTGCCACACAGATGTAGATTCAGGGCTTCAGCATCCATCCATTGATAAGCCCCCTTCCCTGCAGGACCTGACCACATATTGAACGACACTGCCTTGGCTCTTTAGGTCACATGCAGCAGCCAGGAGAGGGTGGGGTGACTTACTCCTTTTCACCAGTCAGCTTAGCGATGTATTTGACCTGCTCACGAAGCTTGTTTCCTAGTTTCTCATTGGCAATCCTGTATAGAATCCACAGAAGAAAAGAGTGACTGGTTCCGCAGACCCCGGTGAGCTAGGAGGGACCCTGGGTATTCTTAGCAGGGCTTCTGCTGGACCCTAGATTCACATGCTTCAGTCACCCTGACCCCAGCTAGAGGCTTCCTAGCCTCTGGACTCTGTACTCAACTGCTGTATAAAACCACTGTGTTCAGGGGATTGAGTTCCAGAGACCCAGGTAAAACTAAATTCCAGGTTGGGAAGAGGAAATTTCACCTCCCAGAAGTGCCCCTTTCATCTCAGTGCTGCTCTGTCCCAAGTCACAACCTTCTGAACCTGCAGGGGGAGCTGGGCCTTTCCCTCTTATTCTGAAGTCTTGGGTTTAGGCTGAGACTGGATCATTTTCCGAGGAGAGCAGATGTGTGTGTGTGTGTGTGTGTGTGTGTGTGTGTGTGTGTGTGTAACTAATCACTGGCACAAGTGCAGTTCCTCGCCCAGCCTGGGCCCGGGAAGTGGACCTCTGACTTACTTTTGCTCCTTTGCCCACTGTTCCATGTTGCACATAATCTGATCGTTGTCTCGGTGGAGTCGATAGGTCTCTTTGGTTACAGACCGTTGGGGCAGGCAGCAGGGCTTTCACATAAGAAGAAACTGAGACAGTCAGGTTGTGGGAACATGGACCTGCCACCTCTCTTCCCAAATTATAGACCTTTTCTCTCTTCATGGGAAAAGGAAATTCTCTGCTGTTCCACCCAAAACCAGAGCGGCCACACCAGCACCTCTACCTCGACCTTCACCATGCAGGTTGCACACACGGAAACCCGGCACAATTGATGGCAGAGACGCAGAAGATGTGTGCACTTAATGATTTTTCAGGCTAATGGCATTAAACGACTTGTTCTTACAAAGTATGCTAAGCTATTATTTTTAATTTAACAGGTAGAAGAAAAAATATCTGGAGGAAGAGATGGCTTCTTTCTAATTTGAGTACAGGCTTTAGGACCACTAGAGATGTGCTGAGGCCTCCTGCCGTGAACTCACTGCTCGGGGAGCTGTATGAGGGGCTTATCCAGAAGGTCACTTAGCCAGTTCTACCCCAGGGCCCCGGGGTACTGAACATGTCAGGATGTACTGGGGGTGCTTCCCAGTGGGTCATCTGAGTCAGGGGTGGCTGGTGTACCCGGCAGTCTCTTCTCCACAACAGGGCTTTTGTTTTGATCAATATGTTTCTATCGACAGAACCATGAGAACAGAGATGGGTTGAGACAGCCGCTGAGGCACTGGAGCACCACTTCTGGCTCCTGTTGGAGTGGTGGGAGTGTCCTTTCCTTGCTCCCAGCACCAGGACTCCACAAAGGAATCTGGTACCAGGGTAGCCATGGGTTCTGCCGGGGGGATCAAGAGGAAGCGAGGGAAGTACCCACCTCCTTCTCATCTGCAAGGAGGGTCTCTTTCAGGGTGGCCATTTCCTCCTGGAATTCCCTGAGCTGAGTCTCTTTCGCTGCCAGCATCTTGAGGTCATTTTGGTGCTGCTTCTGCCACTGCATCACCTGGTTGCTCATCTCCTCTAGCTTCTTGTCAAAAGCTTGCACCTGCTCAGGCGCACAAAGTGAGGAGGGAGAGCCCCAGGACACCATGATTAGGACAAAGGGTGCTTTCTTAACCTTGGACTTGTTGGGGGTATTTTATTCCCAGTGACCAGCAGAGGGCACCCCTCAACTGATGTTTGCCACTTTGGTCTGAAGTTTTAGGAGCCAAGAAAGTGAGGGAACCCATTAGCCAAAGGGTATGGCTTAGCCTTAAATAATTCTGGATACAAAAGGTGACCTCATGAACCCCCAACAGGAAAGCAGCTGGAGCCCCTGGTGTCTCCTTACCTCTATCTCACTCTCCTGGTGGAAGCCTTGCAATTTTTTTAATTCCACATTGAGCCTTTTCATTTTCTCCTCATAAGCAAGAATTTCATCTTCCAACTGAGATTTCCTCTCTTGGGTCATTAAGAAGTTTCGCTGCAGGCTCTTTATCTCTGAGGTTGCTTGATTGAGCTTTCAGCAAAGACAAAGGGAATGAGAGTGGTCATCACAGCCCTCTGGCCCTTTCTGTTTGATCCTGGAGAAGGGCTCTATCTCTCTCTGTGCTCAGGGTTCCAGAGAGGGGTGGGAAGGGACAGTTGCTTGTTTTCTGCAGCCTTCCATCCCGGCCTTCCATTCCCTGCCCCATTTCTATTTTTCAATCCAATGCATTGGTCTAGGGGCATGACCAGCACAAGGATGAATTTCCCCGATGGTCCAGGTAAAACCTTGCCCCTGAGTCACCCATGTGATTTGGAAAGATTTGTTCAATTTGGCCTCCAACTTCGCCTACTTTCCCCAACCTGGTTCCCAAAAAGTCTCACTGAGAAAAAGCAGGCCTTTTGTGGACAGCTCTCCCAGCCCAGGAAAGGGTTGGAGATGCCTTTGAGCTAGGTAGTCATGCAAGAAACTGGCTTTTGCAATTCTCACATCACCCTCCTTTTGGTCTGCAAACTCCCTGGAAGCTGACTGGGTGTGGCCTCACCTTCTCCAGGGTTCGGGTCAGGTCATCTTGGCAGGCAGTTGCCTTCCTGGATAAGTCTTCATAGACTTCCTTACTGACCATGGTTTGAAGAAGATGCTTCTCTCTCTGCAGAGCCTGCTGTAGCTGGGATTGCAGACTCGTTATGGACTCCTTATGCTGGTTTATCTTTAGGGAGTAAGAATATCACTGACTGTGAGGATCCCAGCTTCTGCCCACAAAAATACTCTCGTATAGAAGTAGATCAGAGCTAGGCTTTCTGGTCTCCACAAGAACCTTCAGAGCAGTCTATATTAATGCTCGTATCTTTAACACACTACTGTAAATGTAGAACTGTCTTCCTAGGATTTCTTACATCCTTCCACCCACCTTTCCTCTTTTAGCTAACACATCCTCCAAATACAAGAAGTATTAGAAGTACTAGGGCATGATACGCCAACTACACAAAAATCCCTTTATAGATTCTGTGGCTTTTGATTTAGATTTGGAATTCAATTCTGGATGACTAGACATGGTATTTCCTTTGTGTTTTAGGCTTTCCCTAGCTCATGACGTAATTCACTAGACTGAAAGCTCCACGGAAGTGGGACAGGTGTGCTGTTTTCTCCATTGGTTTTCCCCTATTGCTATAGCTCAGAGGATGGAACATAATAATTGATAGACGCTGAATCAATTTTTAAAAACACGCCTAAATGAAATCTGGCACTGTTTGGGGTTAAAGATGTAAATATTATTGAAGTTAGAGATCATAGTTCTAGCAGACGTTTGTTTGAAAGCAACTTTTTGTCTTAAATTTAGGTGGATATTCGTAGTATACTTACAAGGGAGTTGAGATCTGGGGTCAAAGGATCTGGGTTTAGGTCAAGTTCTGTTACTTATTTATTTCTTGGGCTTCCATTTCTGCTTCCAAAAATTGGGATACAGTAATTTCAGCTGTTTTACACAGTTTTTGTAATGACCAAATGGGACAAATATGGCTTTGTAAAGTGTCAATGGCTGTGAGTTATCATCATGACCATGGAGACCCGTCTTATATACTTTAAGTCCAGGACAGAGATTTGTTTCCAAGTCTGGAAACAGTAGGGAAATCTTGAAAAGCCATTTGTCAGACTTCTGTTCTTTGGTATTCTAGTACACCTGTGTCCTACCCTGGCCGTACACACAATAACACACTCTTCTGAGTTTTCTTGCTTTATATCCAGTAAATGCTTAGTGTTGAACAAATATATTAGTTTTTCAAGTTGGATATTTTCAACCCTAGGAATCAGTGAGATGAAAAGTGTTAAGTTGGACTTTTAGCCATTTATTTCACATGCCCAAGTGGTGAAATGATTCTTAAGCACGAAATAATTTGTTCTTTTGGAAACAACATTCCCTAAAGATTTGTGAACCAAACCAAACCAAACCAAACCATGGAATCTGGGTCTGCCCACTAACCCAGGGGAGTCTCTGGAAAAACAGCAATCAGTGTAAGTGCTTGACAAATAGTGACTGAAGTGAGAAATGTCACCACAGAGGGAGTTTACAAAAAAAATCACGATGATGCTAGAAGCTAAAATGGAAATTTTATTTTAAATTTTGCTAACATAAATGATTTTGGTTAGAAAAACATACTGAATAATTTAGATAGATGGAAATTACAGAATCAAAGAGTTCTAATGAAAGTTCTCCTAAATATCTAGTCTTAGCCACTTTTCCTAGTGTGCCAAGTGTGCATTAAAAGATTGACACATGAATCTCCAGTAACATACACACACACACACACACACACACACACAGAGAGAGAGAGAGAGAGAGAGAGAGAGACAGAGAGAGAGACAGAGAGAGAGAGAGAGAGAGAGAGAAGCAGAGATCAATGTATGATACACAATCAGGACTCATATCAGAAATGCAAGGATGGGCTCAATTTAGGATTAATTAATTTTTTCTGATTTAAGGAGAAAGACGATATAACCATCTTGATGGTTTTAAAACAGCACTTAATAAAATTCAACATCCACATGGACAAAACCCTTAGCAACTGAAGAATAGAAGAAACTTGATAAAGCAGAGCAACAAGAAACCTTCAAAGAACATTCTACTGAAACAGATGTATGCTGTTAAGAGCCAGAAAAGATGCTTGCTGACGCTCCTGCTATTAAACATCGTATTGAAGGTACAGTCCAGTGCAGCAAGATAAGAAAAGTAAAATACACGTAAATACTGCAAAGAAACAGAAAACTCTTGTTGCTTGAAAATGATATAATCATCTACTTTAAATCCATGAGAATCAATTGAAAAGTTATAAGTGAGTTTAATAAGATAGCCAAATATAGGATATATAAACGGATGAGATTTTCTATTATTAACTGTAATAAAATACAAAATAGGGTAGAAAAATAAAATAAATGGGCAGTCTCAAGATATGTTGCCTTGTTTCTGGTGGGAAGTTTTAAAATCAAACTGTGGAAAACTGGTGAAAGGAAATGTATTTTAGAAAGTGAAAGTAAGCTCATTTGTTTTCTCTTACTCTTTTCCTGTGGACTGGGGTTGAACACAGGCCTGCGCACTGAGCTACATCCTTACCTCCCTCCTCCCTCCTTTTTTGAGATACGGTTTCACTAAGTTGCTAAGTTTCCCAGGCTGGGCTTGAACTTTCAATGCTTCTGCCTCAGTCACCCAGAGCACTGGGATTACAGGTATGGGCCACCATGCTGGGGGGGAACCAAACCTATTTCTAATAGATATTTCAGTTGATTTGCTATGTTTATTATGCGTGGGGTATTATAAAAGATTGAACATGCTTACACATTAAAAAAAAAACCCAAAACAAAAGCCCAATTTTCTAGCTTAGCAGTTCGGGGGCCCTTGCCAGCTGTTGGGCTGTGTGCCCGATGCAGGGTACAAGGTCATCTACCATGCGGAAGACAGGACAGCATGGGAGTGGGATACACATAGCTTTCCCAAGGACTCTAGCCTTACGCTTCTGTTTTTTGCTGTTTACAGCCCTATGAAAGCAGTAGTTTAGCAAAGGGAGGTTGGTGACTCAGGTAGTGTTGCACTGCTCTGTAAATGACCCCTAATAAACTCATTTACCCTAATAAACTCATTTACAGCACTGGCCCTAGTCCTGCTTTGGTCAGTCATGTCCTCTCAATGCATCTGTTTCAGACGTTTCTTTTACCTCTGTCCTGGAAACTGGAAACTTACGGAGCACCAGGTATGAAGTAAAACTTCCCACATGGGGAAGAAACATTTCTTTGGCTCAGAAGCCAGTGCTGAGGGTCACCCTCCACCGTAAGGAGAGAGGTGGAGCTGCAGGTGCCATCAGATGCAGCTGGCTGAGCCACTTAGTTGCACTGCGGTGGTGGTGGAGACACAGATAACAGATTTCCAGCCAATTTTCACAGGGTTCAAGCTCCTCACCCCCTTGGGGGTTCTGTCTACTTACCTGTATGTTCAGCTCTTGAATGACTTGCTGAGCGGCATTGTATTTGCTGACAGAGGCTTCCAGTTGTGTAGAATAATGCACCACCTCTTCTCGGAGATTCTCGTTTTCCCCTTCGAGCTTTCGCAGAGTCTCTTTATGCTGCTCTCACATTAAAGAGCAAAGCCCAGAAAAGAGTCGTTAACCTCAGCCTGCCGCCAACACGCCTCTTCCGTCCCCACCACAGCGCCTCGCTGCACACACCGTGGTGTCCAGGGCCTCCCTAGACTTGCCTTCTGTCCTTCCCCTCCTGCGCTCTGAGCACCTGCAGCCTCCGCATCCCTCCTAGCCCCGCTGGGTCCACACCTGACCTTTCATCATCTAGCTCTTCCCAGATTCTCCTCACCATCTTGTCCTTCTTTTTTGCTTCCTGTCGAGCAGCCTCCAGTTCTTCCTCTCGCATCTTCTCCTGTTCTTTGCTCTTTTTTAACTGCCCTTTTTTCTCCTCCACTAACTTCTTGATCTCCTGAAGCTCATCTTCTAGCTTGCTTTTGGCAGATAGTAGGTCTCTGTTCTGGGAAAATAAAGGCCGACTAGTAGGCAGCCTTATACTCTATTATAATTCGGAAAAGAAATTCAGACAGTTGCACCCAGGGAAAGGCTGAGATAAGTAGGAGGATAATTTCTTAGTGTTCTGGTATGAATAATAAAACGTTTGCTTTGATCTTCTGCCACATTTTTCTTTGTTTAATTGGACCAATTTATTTTATTTATAGATTCAATTCCCACAAAGTAAGTCTTCCTTCTTACCAAATCTTTTGACACAGAAACATCTTTGAATAAAGTTTTAAGCAATCTTAGAAAAGCACAAGAAGACTATTTCAGAGATCAAAGACTTTAAATTGACCAATGAGGATAGCTTTTGGATACCAGAAAGAACAATGTGTCTTTTGATTATTGTTGTGTTTAACTCTTGAAATGGGAGCTGCTGCAGAGTGGCTGGTGTAGCATTCTGACACAGATCCTAGATAACAAGCTTGCATAGATTCAGTGGTGACATCTTCCCAAATAAAGACAAATACATTTGATTTATGTAGGGCAGATGCCACACCTGGCTGCCTGTTTGCCCTGCATACCTGGTGCTGAAGCTGTCTGATCTGATCTTGCATTTCGTTTATTTTTGCTTCCTCCTCAGCCAGCGTCCTCTGAAGCTGCCTCCTTTCCTTGTCTGCGTGTTCGAACTTCCTAAGGGCCTCCCCAAGCTGTGAGGTTAGCTCTTCTACCTGTTTCCTAAGGCAGAGTGGTAACCGGAAGATGGATTTCAGGGCCCACGTGGTCAAGTGGAGCTGGCTCCTCGGGGAGTCCCTGCTTTTCTGACCCCTCTCAGTGGTCCTGGCGGGCTCTCAGGCTCAGAGCCACACTTCGGAGGTGAGCCAGAGGTACCTGTTGTGTGACAGATCCTCTTTATTCTGCAAGAGCTCCTTCTGCAGCTCCTGCAGCTCCATTTGCTGCTCCTGAATGGTGTTTGCTTTCTGCTTGTCCTGAAAAACACAGCTCTGTAGTTTCTTCTCAGCGTCCGCCAGGTTATTCTCTGCCAGACTGGCCTTTTCCTTATATTGTGCTGCTTGCTGAGCTGCAGAAGCCAGGAGACAAGCTCAGACATGTTCATGTGTGAAGGAGCAGGTGTGAAGCTTGAATTCTCAAATCAAACTGGCTAAACAGTCTGTCCTTTCCTTGTGTGAGCTACTTCAATTCCCAATCTGCTTTTGCTTCATTTCATATTAGTTCTAAGGAGCTCTGTTAATTATCTGTTCTTAACTACATTCTAGCCATGGATTTCTTCTTGACTAAAAGTAAAAGACTGATAGAAATTATTCAGTATCTTCTGCGTGACTTATCATTAGGGACAAATCCTGACCCTTAGAGAGTTGAGTATCTGATGGGGGAACTATAATTAGCCCCTAATCATAGAGAAATGGAATGGTATCTATATGTTTTGTTTTTAGTACTGAGGACTGAGCTCAGGGTCTTGCACATGCCGAGTATCTGTTCTACCACTGGGCTCTATCTCTAGCCTGCAAACACAGGGGAGTTAAATGCACATTGATGATGAACTCAGAAAGAGAGATCTAAGGGGTTAGGACAGCTGGAGATGGACCTGTGGAAGGACGGAAGTTGAGCCTTAGAGGAAGAAGTAGGAAAGACTTTCAGGTGGGCTGTGTAGGAACAGAAGGAGGAGGAAGAGACCATTTTGATTGGAAGGAAAATGGGTGGAGTAATGCGCTGAAGGGTCTAATAGGCTAAAAAGTCAGTAACTGGGTGGAATAGAGGGCTTCGTGGACTTTAAAAGCCTGAGAGAGATGTTTGGAGTGATTCAGTGAACAGATTCCTGATAAGGGGAAAGACTACCTGGGAAAGTTGCAATGCACAGAGAAAGGCTCCAAGTCACACCCTTCTATGCCATGTCATTGCCTCCCCTGAGGGGAAGAGCATCTCAGTAAGCTGTTCATTGGGTTTCTTTACCCCAAATGTGTTCCCCACCCTACCGTTTCTACTATAAAGGTCACTCTTCTCTCATTGCTTCCTGGACATTTCCTAGCATAGGAAGAAGGATGGTATCACTGCTGAAATAGTGACATGCTTGGGGAGAAGTGGGGAGGATGATTCTTTTAAGTAGTGGAGAGAATGGGTTCAGTTTTGGAAATGTTGAGTGAGGGGTGAGGACGGGTTGTCCAGGGGGAATTTTTCTCTAAAAACGAGACTGGTCACAGTACATAGTGAGTGCTGGGGCTCCAAGTTTTGAAGTCATCAGTAGAGGTTTACAGCTTTGAGGAGGAGGGGAGCTCAACAAAGAGTGAGTGTAGACGGAGAGAAGCGGGTAGATGGCTACAGTCAGAGCAGGCGGGAGAAAGAGAAAACAGGGAGGAGATTTGTGGAAAAATGGGAGAAAAAGTTGAGAAGTGAGATTTGCATGTGGGTGCCTGACAGTGTCAGGAGACAGAGTTAAAGGAGGCTGAGGGAGGAAGCCAAGATCTGGAACTTCTTCAACTACTAATGAATCAATGTATCCTTTAAAATAGACAATTCAGTTTTTAGTATATTCAGAGCTGGGCAATCATTACCAATATCTAACAGAGTTATGGGTGCACTGAGAAAGTGGTCTCCACAGAGGGCAAGAACACAATCCCCAGGGAACGCCATGCAGAATGTGTTTGGAGGAGAGAATTAAAAACATGCAGAAGGGCTGGGATAGAGCTCAGCGGCACAAGCGCCTGCCCGGCAAGCGTGAGGCTGTGCGTTTGACCCCTGGTACCGAAAACAACAACAACCCCAAAGCATAGGTAGAGGAGAGGTGAGCTGGTGAGAGGGACTGAGGAGACAGAGTGCAATGTGCTGCACAGGAGCGGATGCAGCCCTGTCCTCCGGGTGGCCAGGACGGGAAGGGACCTCCATCTGAGGTGGCTGAGGAAACAGCGGTGCTGTGAGTTCAGCAGCTGCTTTTGCAAGCTGCGACAAAGGAGGGGAGTGAAGGGCTGAGGGAAGGACTTCAAGAGGGCAGTGGTGACAGCTGTGAGAGGCAGGATGAGAGGGCGTGGAAGGGGCCGTTGGGAGCAGGGCCTGCTCCGGCCCCCTGGGGGGGGAGGCGGTAGGGGGTGGTGAGGGTGGTGAGGGTGGGGGGGGGTGGGCGGGCTCACCCGCCAGCCTCAGCTGCTGCTTGGCCTCTTCCAGGCAGTCCTTCCCCTTCTGGACCTCAGCTTGCAGGACCTCACACTCCGCCTTGCCTCCGTCCTGCTTCTCCTCCTTCACTTTCATTTCGAGTTCCTTCATCATACACTGCTGCTTCTCCAGTTCCGTCTCCTTCTTCCTGAGATAGCTCTGAACCTGGCTCAGCTTCTTCTCTAGCTCGTGCAGCCTCTCGTCCTTCTCTTGGAGGAACTGGAGAGATCAAAGCGGATGCTGAGAAAGGCCTGAGCAGTGGCAGCTGAAGTCAGCCAGCGATTGTTCGCGAGCCCTTGTCCAAGCCACTGCCATGCCTTCCCTGGATACTGCAAGCGCCTCCTCCTCCTCCTCCTCCTCCTCCTCCCTGGGTTCCCCACACACTCCCTCTAGTCACTCAGGCTGTTCTCAAGCAAATAGCGGGGCGGGGGGGGGGGTTCCTAAAAGTACCAGTCAGATCCTGTGCCTTGGCGGCGCAGAACCCATGCTAGCTTCCACCTCACTTAAAAGAGGCCGGATTCTTAAAATGACCCACAGAGATGCTGGTGCTCTGGTCCCACCTAGGCTGCCTGTCTATCAGCTTCCCCCACCTTTCCTGGCCTCAGCTGGCCTCCTGGAGCAGCCCAAGTAGATTCCGCCTCATGCCCTCTGCCTGCAATCTTCTTCCTTAAGACCTTGCCGAAGTGAGTTTGTCACTCAATTCAAATCTCTGACCCAACGTCATCTTATTAGAAAAGCCTTCCACTACCACTACACCATATGTAAAGCAGCCATCAGGCAGTGTTAGGAATTTATTGATTCCTGGCATCAATATGTACGGGTTACATATTAATTTTGTGATTTGTTTATTGTTCGTCTCACCATGAGAACATGGATGTTATACGTCTTGTTATATTCTTAGTGCTTAGAACAAAGCTTGGCATATTGTAAATGCTCAAAATATTTGATGACTGAATTGTGAAGTAAGTTAAGCTGTTTATCCAGGCTCCTTGCTTCAATTTGCCATCTTTCCAAAAGTCTCCGTTTTGACTGGTGGGTTTCCTCCATCCTTTGAAACAGGAGGCTTTAATGATCAGCCACTCAATCAGTTGGGTTATTTTTAATAGCTCTGATAAAAGTTCAAAGTTGGAATAGTACTAACTATAAAAGCTTGCACTGGCTTCACAACCTTTCTGTTCTTGGTTCCGCATCCAGGCTTTCTTAGGAACTTGATTTATGTTAGCAACTAAAGGTCTCTAGGGCACAGTGCCATTAACACTTTTGAGCTTCCTAATTTGTGTATTCATAAGGCATTTGTAATTTTTTTTAGTGCTGTAGATTAAACTCAGAGCCTCACATATGCTAGGGAAGTGCTTCCCTACTGAGCTATCCCTCTAACCCTGATATTTCTAATTTTAAAAAGTGAAGTTTTTAATGACTGCATATTATTTTATAGGATTTCCTCCTATCCTCAAACATAAGAAAGTACAAGGGGGTGGGGTAAGCAAGTAAGGGCATCGCAGAGCCGGGAAAGAACCTCTTTCTTACAGGTTCAACACCTCTGTTACGCTGTGGCCCTGACATAGCCACTTCTCAGAAGTGGGCTTAGAGCTGTGTCTGGGCCCGGGATGCTCAGTCCTGCTGCGCACGTGCTGAGGCTGCTCAAGCAATCACAGGAGGTGGAGAGGGCGCAGCTGGCCCGGCCTGGCCTCATGTCTGCCTTAAAGTCGTGTCACCTTGTCTTTCTTTAAAGCGAGCTTCTGGGTCTCTGTGAACTGCAGCTGCAGCTCCTGCAGCCGCTGCTGCAGGATGGCAGCTTCCTTATCCTTCCTCTCGATGTGGGCGGAGGTGTCCTCCCGCATCCCGTGCAAATCCAGCTCCAGCTTCATCATGTCTACAGCAGAGAGCGAGACAGGGTGCTGCTCTCAGAGAAGGCCTCGGCCTACTGGGGTCCCTGGCTCTGTCTCCCCCATTTACCCTTCATGATGTTTTTCTTCTGCTCTGACACGGCCTCCAGTTCCATGCGCAGGTCCTTCACGAGGTTCTGGTACTCTTCCACATGCAGGCACTGGCTGTCCTTCTGCTCCTGCAGGTGCTTCAGGACCTGTAGTTGGAAGAAAAGCAGGGTGGGATGAGGGTCTGGGGGAAAATGCATCTGCAAAGGCCAGACATCCAGAACAGAACAGCCCCGAGAGACAGAAAGTACAACAGTGGCTGCCGAAGGCTGTGGGGAGGAGGATGGGGCGCAGCCCAAAGGATGTGAGATTTCCTTTGGGATGACGAAAATGTCCTGGTTGCTCAACCTTGTGAAAATACTAGAAAGCAACACTGAATTTGCTTTGAAAAGCAAAAGTGAATTTTATGGCTTGTCAATTGTGTATCAATTTAAACAATATTTAAAAGTGAATACAGTAGACTTCTTATACAAAATGTGCAGGAAAGAAACCACCCGTTCCTCTCCGTATTAGACAATCATTTATGGAGCATGTATTATATGCCAGGCACTAGCTTAGGTGCTGAGGACAGGAGGGCAAATTGCAGACACACACATCCTTGCCTGCATGGAGCTGGCTAAGATAGTGACTTTTAGAAAATGCTAAACATGGACAAGTACTATGGGAAGAATAAAAGAGCAAAAGAGGCGTGGTGGTAGGGGGCACAGGCAGGGAGTATGTGTCCCAGTTTTAAATTGGTCTCACTGTGAAGGGGCATTCTGAGCAGGGATTTGCTGGGAGAGTGGGAGCGGCCATGCTGTAGGAATTTGAGGGGCGGGCTTTGCAGGTGGACAGGCTATCTGTGGCAGGGTCTTGGAGAACAGATACAAGGAGATCAGTGGGCATAGGGTGGGACTAGGAATGGGACAGCTGGAAGAGATGAGGCTGTGGGTGACCCCGTTGTTCAGGCCGGTAGACCCTCTGCAAGAACTTTGGCTTCTGTTCTAAAGGACAAGGGAATGCCTTCCTCACGCCAAGGAGGCAGGGACATGTGGCTGAGGAGGAGCAGCTCATTACCCTGGCCTCAGAGAAGGCTGGGAGAGTTGTTCTGTGAGCTCAGAGTAGGCAGGAAGGAGAGTTGCAGCATGAAGCCAAGAGGTGACAGCTGGAGAAGTATGGGACAATCACCGTGTGACCCAGAGTGACCTTGCAGGAGCTGTGCCAACTGAGGGGAGAGGACTGCTGGAGGGAACTGTGACATCCAGGAAGCATGAAGACTTTGGATAGGAAACAAAACCATGGGGGAGAGGCATATTCTGTTTCATGGAGAAGTCAGCAACATTTAAAAAGGAACAGATAACTGGGTGTGCTGGCGCACTCCTGTAATCCCAGCACTCAGGAGGCTGCGGCAGGAGGTCTTTGTGAGTTCGAGGCCATCCTGGGCTACAGAGTGAGCCCAAGGCTAGCCTGAACTGCATAGTGAGACCCTGTCTCAAAAAGGCACACACACACACAAAAGAGACACTTATGAGATCTTGCTGTAGGTCAGGATATGAAAAACACGGAACTGACATTTAAAATAAATACAGATATTTGTAGTTCTAAGGATGAACTACAAAGTTCAATATTGATTCCTCACTCATCCAGCTTTCTGGGGTTAGAAGTTGTGAAATGAGCAGTCTCCATCTCCCCACCGGAGGACCCCGCAGGGAGCTTGTATGTGTTCCTTGGCTCAGACTTGCAATTTGCCTGCCTCTATCCAGAGCGCTAGGACTACAAATGTGCCCCTATTATACTCAGCTAGAGTCAATTCTTGATACTGCTTTGAATTTTGTAGTTTTCTAAATAGAGTAATGAACTTTCATTGATAATCTCCCATAAAGTTCTGACTTTCCAAGTCCTGCCAGACACTAGAAGGCTGGACGGTCCTTTTGAATCAACCAAGTCAATAGGAGCACTGTCTCACTGAGGTGTACTGTTAGAGGCAGGTTGAGAGACAGTTGCAGTTCCAAAATCCAGTGCTGTCACAACCTTTAGAACTTTCCATATATTATGCAGAGTACCCTTGTGGCAGGGGCAATGAAAGTCAGACAGATATAACCATAATATAAAAACAAAAACTAAAAAAAGCCATGTATAATGATGCACATCAGTAATCCCAGTATTCTGGAGGCTGAGACAGGAAGACTGCAAGTTCAAACCCAGCTTGGGCAATTTAATTACTTAGCAAGACTCTGTTTCAAAAGAAAAACATGAAAGAGCTGGAGCTATAGCTCAGTGCAAAGGCCCTGGGTTCAATCCCAGTAGCAAAAAAAAAAAAAAAAAAAAAAAGAAAATCAGAAAACCCCATAAGCAAACCCAGCGCAGCCCGATACCACCTGAAATGCATAAGCAAAAGAGCTCCCACCATTTTTATGTCTTCACAGTCTTCGGAGGAGCTGGGAGGATGTCTGTGAGTGGCTGTATAAGAAGCAAAATCTGCTTGTAATTTTATCAATGCCTCTTCACGCTCCAGGACCTGCAAACGAGCACAAGCTGGTTAGGTTAAATGATCAACATCACAAACTTACTGTTGTTACTATTTTTACAGGGTGCTTTTCCTGCCGTGTAAGTTTGTTGCAACATTATGTAACTCATCTTGCCCTTCCTGTCAGATTGGCAGGAAGAAGGAATTATGATCTCAATCTTCTACCAACCTTGCAGAGAGCATACAGTGATTTGTCTCAAGTCTGTCAGGGGCCACATTTTGGGTTCTCCTGAACTTCAGTGGGGTCTGCTTTATGAGGCAGAGGAAGGTCCTTTAGAGGCTATGATAGAGACAGGCATCTAATCCATCAGAGGACAAGGTGCAGGCTCAAAATTTGAGGATTAAAAAGTGTCTTATAGAGAGTGCATGTAAATCTTTTTTTTTAAATTTAAAAACATGAATGCTTTGTTTTAATTTTACAGTTTTCTGAATCTGTAGAAAATAATTCAGACAAAACCCAAGCATTGAACTTAAGTGAACACATTTTTACTACTGTCCTCTCTCATTTCCACTAAGGGAGGGAGGACACAACTGAAAAATTGTGTATTTCTCTATTATGATCAGAGATTTTTAAAGAAACATAAGATTCTATCCACTTATTTTCAACATTGCAAAGAGCTTTCCCTGCAGATCTTACGGATCTGCTCCATTCTTTTACTGGCTGCATATTATTCCACATTATGCATATCTCTTTGAGAACTTCTCTTAATTTCTAAAAACCATTTATCTACTGATGGGCACCTAGGCTGTTGTATGAGAGATTATAAGTGCTTTTATAATCTCAAACCTAATAATGAGTAAGAAAGATGCATGCCACAGAGAATAGGAACAAAAGTTGGAAGGACTCTTGGTGGAAGAGATTATTTAAAGTGGCTCTTCCCCTTCTTTCTTTCCTCAGGGTTCTACGGTGGGCCTCTCAAGAATGAGGCACTTACCAAAGCATTACTGCAGGCTAGCTTATTTCGAAGCTCCTGGATTAGATCATCCTGTTCTGAGACCTTTTGCCAGACTTCAGACAGTCGTTTCAGGGTCTCCTGATGCTCTTGAATCATGCAGGAAGACGTGTAAATGCGCACATTTGGGTGATCACCCTTGTTCTCTGGTTCCTGGGATATTTAAAAAAATAATGGACTGGTTTCATTTGTAGTTTGTGAGTTGACTTCAGAATTCTATATGCATAGAAAATTCCTCGACTAATGTACTAAATGTGTATTTTCATATATGGGAAATAAGGTTTCCTTAAAAGAAAAAAAATTAACTGCTGCAGATCCAGAGTAAAATGTCCAAACAGTTCATAAGACAATACAACAACCTACAAGCTCAGGTCTTCTCCTCACAACAGTCTGTGTTACTAATTTTTTGGGTATCCTTCCAGGGACATTCTATGCCTATTTGTATATGTGTATTTATATAACTCTATTTGTTTCTTTATATAAATGAGAGTCTTCTATACATTACTCAAAACACTGGTTTCACACAACAATTTACTTAGGATATCCTCCACACTGTTATTTGTAGATATATTTTACTCTTAAAATTAATTTAAAATTACATGAGTAATGATGCTTATATTACTGTTTTAAAACATGTAACATTATAGGTAAGTTTAAATTTCTGCCTGAGCACTACCTCTAATCCCCTGCCTTTTCCATTTCCAGATGTCACGTTCTTCTAGAACTTTATTCACATAATAAAGATGAATCTATAAAATATGGATTATGCTGGAGTTTTGAAACATAAAAATGGATTTTCCTCAAGCTATGTTAGAGATTTATCCATATTAGTACATGCACTGCTGTATTGTACTTTCAAAGTGCTTCTGAGTACATTTATCTAGGTTCTTAATGATAGTAACATAGATTGCTTTTAGTTTTTTCCCCTAAGATGAAGCTGAAACAAATATTTTTGCACACCAAAAGTTGTTGAGTACCTACTTTGGTAAATGTGTAGATTAAATTTATATAAGTAGGAATACTAATTCATATGTAAAACTTGATAGATATTGTATAATTGTCCTTTAAAGAAATTTTAACGGTTATTACTCTCATTAATCTGAGTATGAGTGATTTCTAAAAACTATGTTTTCGTTTATAAAATATCCTTCCTCAGATCATCTGGAATCATGCATGAAGGTTACTGCCCTCTCTTGGTGTGTTCTAGTACGGGGTGGACTGATGCATGGAGAATACAGAGTCAGAGGTTCCAATTTGGATGGGGGATCCCATCCCCATCAACCTCGTTTCCCTAACTGTGCTTTTTCAGGGACTAGAAATAGTTCAGGCTCACTGAGCATGAAACCTGCCCATATGCAAGCTGCAGAAAGGTCAGTCAGAAATCTGAACTTGACTACGAATGATGTTTACGTAAATAATTTAGTGTATAAGAGGGCAAAGGAATTGAAAATACAATAGAAAACTTAAGAAAGAGGAAGAAGGTATCTGTGGACTGTAATATCTCCTTAATACTGTGGGATGAAAAAAGGAAATTGATTTAAGAGTAATAGAAAAAAATTTCCTGAAATGGAGAAAAACGTAGATCTTCAGATTAAAAGTCAGTTAAGTGTTGAGAGGCTTAATGAAAAATAAACTAGAAACATCCTTAGCCTACAAACTTACTCCAGAGGTTGAAAGAGATAAAACAGGGACCTACAGAAAATGAGAAACAGACTGATGTCCAACAACGATCCTTAGTACTGAGTAGTACGAGACTGTATAGCAACACAGCAGAAAAGGCTTAAGGGAAGACATTTTTGAAAGTTCGTATATTCAGCAAAACTAGCATTCAAGAATGATGTCAAAATAAGCTTTTTTCAGACATAAAAATTTTGAGAAATTTGGCCACCCACAGTTGTTTTGGAAAGAATTAAGAAGAAATTATTACAGCGAAAGGAAAACTCCAGGAATGCAGAAAGAATAAGTTATAGTTGGGCATATTTGTAGTTTTACAGGAATAGAAATTTTTAATGTTATATGGACAGTTTCAGAGACTAAAAAAAAGTGAACAGCTTTCCAACTCAATTAAGATGGCATAATTCATATATTACAAAATGAGAACACAAAACACGAACCATCAAATTAACCTCATTTTTGAAAATAGATGTAAAAAATAAAATTTGTACAAATTTAACAATAAAAGTTTATTAAAGTAATATATCACAATCAAACATAATCTACCTCATTAAAGGATAGATGCTAATAAAACATCTGATAAAATTCAACACTCATCTTTGGTATAAAATTCTTGATAAGCTAGATACAGTAATACTTTAAATTTAAAAAAACGTATTAACAGAAAACCAAGAACAGGGCCGGGTGTGGTGGCACACATCTGTAAGCCCAGCACTCAGGAAGCTGAGGCAGGATAACTGCCATGAGTTTGATGCCTGCCTGGGCTATATAGTGAGTTCAAAGCCATTTTAGACTACATGGTGAGACTTTGCTGCACACACACACACACACACACACACACACACACACAAGCCAAGAATAGGCATTATACTTTATAGAAAGATGTTGAAAAAATTTCCTTTAGAGCAAGGAGCAAGACAAAGATATTACATTTCTGTTGTTCTGGAGGTTCCAATTAATGGAATAAGTTGGAAAATAAATTCTTCAAATTCTTAAAGTGAATGCAATTTAGAAAAATCTGCCATGTTTAACTGAATATTTGTTAAGAGAGCTCAGTAAGGTGACAGAGTAAGAGATATTTTCCTATACATCAGTAATAATTCTTCTTTTTTTGGTCTTTGAAACAGGGTCTTGCTATGCAGTTCACGCTGGCTTTGAGCTTATTTTGTAGCCCAGACTGGTCTCGAATTTGCAATTCTTCTGCCTCAGCCTATTAAGTGCGGGGATTACAGGCATGAGTCCCACGCCTGGCTTCAGTAATAACTATTAAGATTAACTGTATGAAAGTTCCTACTCATAAGAAAACGCAACTGTGATACATCTAGACACAAACTTAGCAAGAAGTATTTGAACTCTATACAGAAAAAACATACAGTCTTCCTGAAGGGCATGTAAGAAAATATGAATAAAATACAAGAATGTCATATTCCATATACTAATTTCCTTCAAATTAATAGTGAAAAAGTCAGTCAATGTGGATCTGAATTTCATCAAGAAGACATGTTCAAAAGGACAAAGAAAAATCTGAACTATAGAATAGTGGACCCATAAAACATGTTATCAGTTATAAAGTCACCAGGAAACTCTGACATCAACGCCAGAACGGGAAAGTAGATCAAAAGAGTGGAGTCTGGAAAGAACTAAATGCACAGAGGAATCAGCATTATGAGTTGGTACTTGAGTCTTTAGGGAAAAGCAGGAATGTTCAATTAATGATCTAGGGACCACTGGAGATCCATTTAGATAAACATAACATTATAGCCTTATCTCAGTATATAAATATTAAAATACATTCAGGATGGATTAAAGATAAAACATAAAAGTGCAAAATTATAAAGTGCTAAAAGAACATATAAGATAAACTTTTATAATCTTGGGAATAGAGAAGGTCTTCCTAAGCAAGACATAAAGCCTAGAATCTATAAAGAAGAACTGACAGATTCAAATTCATAAAAAGTAAAATTCCATGTGGTGAAAAATAACGTTAATAAAGTAAAATGAAAAGTTCAGACTGGGGAAAATACTTGCAGCATATGCAATGAAGGGTGATTATCTGTAATATATTAAGAAAGTCCTATAAGTCAATGTAGAAAATACTAACTCAGTTAAGAATGGGTTAAGGGTTAAAACAAGTAATGTGTAAAACAGAACTTCACCTGAGCCAATGTGAAGAGTGCTGGGTAGCTGCCCAGTGTGGTAGAGACTGTGATGCACCTCCAGGACCCCCCTACTGCCCAAGTCTCTGTAGGGATTGCCAGGGCAGAAGATAACTGCTTTGTCAAAGGCCAAGTCCTTGTCCCTCAATCTAGGACAGCTCTGAGGTCTCCTCTAGCCCCACATCTTGGTCTCTGTGTAACTGCATGACAGCTCAGCGTCTCTTTTTTACAGCTCAGCCATACTTACTGCTCCTTCCTTTCACAGGTGCTAACACTAAGGTCCCTCCCTAAAAATGTCCCACGTGCTAACCCGTATTGGAGTCTTCTTCCTGGGGAACCCAACTGGCAGCTATTAGAACTAAACAAAATGACAATTGTGATGAGAAGAGTCTTCCCTTCTTTACCTGTCAATTTAGCACAACTTAAAAAGAATGAAACATGTAATATGGAGAAAAAGCTCTTCATTACATGTTAGTAAAAGTGTAAACTGGTAGAAACTTTTTAGGTTTATACAATTTAGAAGTAACTTTAAACATTGAAAACAAGCATATCCTTTGATTTAGCAATCTCACTTTAGGAATTACCCTCTAGAAATAAGGATGCTTATTACAGTTTGTGACAGAGCTCAAAAGGCCAACAGATAGTAAGTCCATACTATATAATGAGGTAGAGACAAAAAGAAATTAAGATATGCACGTTAGGAGCAAGTCATACAGCATTATTTTAAATGTTTACATAATGTCCTTTATACATGTGACTAAATAGATGGAGCCCTGGGAAGACTCCCAACTCATTGTTCAAGTGATTACATAAGGAAAAATTGGTGAGAGAGAGGCTCAAGACAAACTTTCCCATTTACTCTCCAAACTTCTGTCTAGGGAGCCTATATCATTACATTATTTGTGCAATTTGAAAAGAAATTATGAGGAAAAAGAATATCCTGATCTTTTGGTTCCTCTTCCCCATGGAATGGGAAAGTTTCATGACTTTTCCCTCCTGCTTGGTCCTGGAGTCATGGTCTTCATGAGCCTCATGAACCGGAAGAGCTCATTGACTACTCCATGAGAACATGGAAGATTGGGGAGTTCATTGTAATTCTTTTGCCTTATTTGAAATGGAAGCGACTTCAAAACTTCTAAGGAGTAATCATAAAGGAGATGCAAAAGCTAGCAATTCAGGAATGAGCGTCTACCAAATTCAAGAGCAGAAAATGAGACTGGGTTGGAGGTGGGTTTCTGTAGGAGGAGGCTGGGCCCACAAGAGCAAGCGTCCAGGAACGTGTTGGCTTGCAGGAATTCCTGGATTGTGAGGTCTGGTTTAAGTCTTACCTGACTGATGAGCCCGCTGAGCTCCCCCTCTAACATCTTCACTTGGCACTCCAGTAACTCGATGTTGCTCAGGGAAGTCTGGTATTTATCCCTGTAGAGGTTTAAGCTTCTTTCTAGGGAGGCAATCTTGTCCCCAGCCAACGCAAGCTGCTCCTGTGCTAGATGGAGCTTCTCTCCCGTGTTCTCATTGTGATTTACCATTTCCTCTTCATAGAGGGTCACCTGTGAGTGTAAGAATGAAACCATATTGAACCCTTGGAAACAGGAGTTTTCTAATGAGGAAAGTATATGGTTATAAGACCCCATATAGAGCAGTCCTATATTTAAACTAGAAACTGAGATAAACAGAATAGATGTAGCATAGATCTAAAAGCTTTAATATATAATATCAGGATGTGAATGATTAGAAATTAAAAAGATTGTCTTATTTGGAGGTAAGCTTCTTAAAAGCAGGCATCATGTCTATTACCCATCCTGTCCAGAATGTGTAGAAGCTCAATAAATACTTATTGATTAATAAGAATGGATTCATACCGCTCCATATTTTTAAGGGCTTTAAATGCCAGCATTCTTTCTTTCCTAAGGCCTCTCTAGAGATCTAATTTGGAAAATGTAGAGCCTTCAAGCACACAGGCCCACATTAGTAACATTCCCAAGAGACACTGGGGAGCATGGCCCAAAGCTCCTGTGAGATTTGCATAATCCTTACATAGGTTTCTTTTCTTTCTAATCAATTAGTCATCCAATTGACAAACATGTATTGAAAGCTCATAAACATTGTAAGGAGTATAGAGAGGATCCATAATTATGAGATATAAGGTACTTCTCGAAGAGTTTAAAACTCAAAATATTTAGGAGATAAGATTTAAAATTATCAAACTGTATATAACTGAGTGCACAAAATTATATGACTCAAATTATGTGCATTCAAGGAGTTAGAGAGGATTCCTTGAGGAAGTTAAAATAGTCCAGTTCTAACAGAACATGTTCCATTTATTTCAGCTAATTATCTACCGTTGCCTAATAGTTCAGAGTCTTCTTAAGAAAGGATCATTTAGTTTAAGGTCTTTATTAGGTGAGAAAAAGAGGTAAAGAGTATTTGTCATTAAAATGTTTGTCACAGAGTTGCCAGTGGCCTACTCACATCCCCTTGACACTGTTTCTTTGTACACTAAACCTATTCAGTGGCAACCATTTTTGATTCTGCCTTCAGAGGGCTTCAGGGGCTCAGGGAGGGGAGGTTAGAAGGGCTCACGAGTTAGCATCTCTAGGAGCAGCCGTTGGCCAATGACTAGAGTGAGTTGGTGGGTTCACCCTGATGTATGTTCTAGTATCTCCCAGAGCTCTCTAGGAAGATCAAACCCCAGTGCCTCTGATCCATAGCAACTTCCTTCATGGACTTCTGTCCTTCTTTGACTCACTTCCCTGTATGTTCCCTGGAATCATCTCTGGCATTAACTCATCACATTGTCTTAACAGTGATGGCGAACCTTTTTAGAGCTTTCAGTGATAGCAACCTGCTGCAACAATGTGTGCCTTTGGTTCACCACCACCATGGGCTCTGCTGTTGATGGAAGCCAGCTTTAGGTGAAAGTTTGATGCATCCGTGTAACAAAGCATTTGAGGAACATGGCGAAGGTCTAAAATAAAATTGCTAATGCTTTCTCAGTTCAAAATCTATGTCCCTGACTGCCACTTGCTGGATCACGTATTTATTCCCTGACCCCCACCTCCAGCCCAAGTAGAACTTGTCTCTGTTGGGAGTGGCGATCACCAGTACATTTCCTGCATGTGACTAATTCTGGCCAATGATATAGAAGTGTTGTGTGGGGCTTTTGGTAAGTGTTCTTGGAAAGAAAGTGTGTGCTTTTCTTCCTATCCCCCTCTTCATTTGGATTATGTGATGGCTGGAGTTCCAGTAGCACCCCAGGTAATCCGGAGAATGGAAGCCTTGAACTGATGTGACACATGCAGTTCCATGATAGCAAAAATCACTTTTCTTTGATCTCTTTTTATACAACACAGAAGTAAACTGTTACTTATTTGTCATTCTTTGCAACTATACACTATCTCAATAAATCTAGGGTTACTTTGTTCAGATTGAACTCTTTTAAATTATAGCAAATCAGCCAATCTTAATACACCTGCACATTAGCTTTATTGAATCATGGTTTATGCTCATAGACTTTGTTCTAGATTATATTTTGTAGGATAATTTTCCTTTGTTCCTTTCTTTCCCAATGCTTTTTAGAAAATTCTCCTTTGGCCATAATATTTCCTTTTTAAAAATTCTGTTTTCTCAGCCTCCTTATTTTAAAGTCTCGGAAGTTGGTTCCTATAGAACCAACTAAAGTGTCTAAAACACTTCCTGGAATTTTCCTTAAATCTGAAGAAAGAAAATGTCAAGGGAAGCCCAGATAGGAGTCTGCTGGCCCCACCACCCCAAACCATGATCTTATTGCTATTAATACTCAACTGACTTTAGTTCTGTAGCTCTGTTCTTTGAAATTTACTTGGGATTCTACAGGGATATAACTGTGGTTTAAAAAATACTGCCCTGAAACATGAATATAAATGAAACATACTTAGGTCAAGTCTAGAGAATCTAAAACTCCAGTCTGAAAAAATATCTAGCACTCTCAATGATTGACTCAGATTCAGTGTCAGGTTTTCTTATCAACTGTGCATCATACATATCAAGACCTGATTTATCTAAAAATAATTGACCTAATGGACCTTATACCTTTTAAAAATAACCCTCGAGTCTTTTGCATTTCAATTGCAATGGTAATAGGATGTTGAGGATGGACTCTTGTGTGCACACGCACGTACAGCTCAACATCCCACATGCACTAACACCGGACAGCTAACTCAATTATGGCATTCATGATTCAAAAACCTAAGAATCAAAGAGGGAAAATTTATAAATCCTGCTCAAGAAGTTGTGAAGCTCTCCTCATTAAGTCTAGCATTTCCTTTCTCAGGGTTGGACTGCTGGCCTGATCTCTATGGGTCCGTGGCATGGAGGACATGTTTGTAGTTAGTTCAGTGATACCTCGTCTTCTTTCAGCTTGCAGTGATGGTGAAGAAGAACCAGGTCGGACGTCTGCTTCTCCAGGATGGACTGATACTGTAGGAGAGAACAGTAGGAAGTCTGCAACTCCTCTGTGCGAAACTCCAGTTCTTGCTGAAGGGCCAGCAATTTTTTCTTCAGTTGCTGAAGCTGTCTCAGATGACACTCTTTAGTAGACCCAAAATCTACCTGGGACTCCTCGAATGGTAATGTCTGTGCTTGTTTCTTGTTCTATGATACAGGTAGAATATACAGCAAAGGCTTTAGAGGGTCACTAAGGATGCAGGGATTCTTTGATTTTTTTCATTTGTTCAACCATTCACATCTAAGAGATCTTACCATTTCATTCTATTCATAGAAAAATACAGTACTTTGTAAGTCTTACTTGATAAGAAGGTTCTTACCTGTCATAAGCTTATTGTAAGTCAGAAGAAAAAATATATACATGTAAAAAATCTAGAGATATGTAAGTAACACTGGTAATATTTTGTGTTTACACATACAGAACACAACTGATTTGGAAGGAATTTGGTCTGGGTTTATGGACTATATTTGGTATTAAACATATCTAGGCAGAGCTGGGGATTTAGCTTAGTGGCATAAGTGCCTGCCTGGCAAGTGCAAGGTCATGAGTTCAATCCCCAGCACCACACCAAAAAAAAAAAAAAAAAAAATCTAGGCAAAGGAGCATTGAAAGAAATTTAGGACTTGTTTTTTCTTTCTTTCCTTTTTTTTTTTTTTTTTTTTTTTTTTTTTTGAGACAGGGTCTCGCCTTGAACGCTTTTCATAGCCCAGCTGGCCTCAGACTCACAACAATCCTCCTACCTCAGCCTCCCAAGTGCTGGGATTACAGGCATGCACCATCACTCTTGGTAAGGGTGAATTCTTGAAGATACTAGAATGCTGGAAAAAGGCAGAAATATTGTTCACATCTGCACTGACTCTGTCTTCTTCTGAAAGATGTCATCCTACATGAAAGTTGTGTGTGTGCACATGCACACGTGTGTATGTGTGCTCTCTGCGGATCCACAATCTGCTGGAAATACTGCTAGGCCCATACTCCATTTCTTTTCATTCACATTTACTTTACCAGGCATTCAGCTGGCAAGATACATCCAAGTTGTTTTCCTAGAATAACTGAAGTTCTGCACTAATGCTTTTTATATTTCTTTGCCCATTATCTCATATGACAGTGACACGTGAGAGAGAGGTAGGTAAAGAGCACAGCAGGAGGGCGGTCTTGAGCTCCCGTGTCTGCTTATGATCTTTCTGCTCACACTCAAAGACCCTGTATGAATCCTGTTTTTGTTTTGGTCTGATCAGCTGTCTTTGCATCAGTATCAGAGACCTTGCAGGCATGTTTATTTTGCATTCTGTACCTATTCTAATTAGATTACAAACTCCTGGAGGGCAAGGGATCATGTCTTCTCCTATTGATCTTAGATTAGTGATTCATACATCACTACGTATTAGATGAAAGAAAAATGAAAATAGAGCCTAAAAATTTCACTGGCTCCCAGGAATTTGAGCTTGTGGACTTGGTTTCATTAACAGAGTACTTAACATAACAGCTTTCAAGGTTTTTAAAAAATTAACTTTTTTACAGTTTTATTGAGGCAGAATTTATATATTACAATATTTAGTATAAAATTCAATAACTTGTAACACATTTATAGAGTTATACTGCAATCATTACACTGCAGTTTTAGAACATTACCAGCATCCTATGATTTCCTCATGCTCATGTGCAGTTCACTCCTGTTCTTACCCCTAGGGCCAGACAACCATTAATAAGCTTCCTGCCAGTTTTTGTATTTTCTATACATGTCAGATATGGAATTGTGTAATATGTTTTTTTCTTTTTTTGTTTTTGAGTCAGGGTCTTGCTATGTGATTCAGGCTGGCCTTGGGCTCACTTTGTAGCCAAAAGTGGTTTTGAATTGCAACGATCCTCCTGCCTCAGCTTCTTGAGTACTGAGATTATACGAATGTATAATGTGTCATCTTTTGGGTCTGGTTTCTTTTACTCAGCATGTTTTTGAGGTTCATTCATATTGCAGGAAGAATCAGGGTTTGTTCATTTTCATTGTAGAAGAATATTATATAACATTTCATATTTTATTTATTTGTTTGCCAGGTGAGGGATATTTGAACTGTTTCAGTTTTTGGCTATTAATGCCGCTATAAACATGAGCATACCAGTTTTTGTATAGATTTGATGTTTTCATATAATTAGCTTGCTTAACCAGGATTAGGACATACTTATGTTAAGTACTGTACTAGGTAATAGGAATATAACAATGTGTAAAACAAACACAATACCTGCCTTCGTAGAGTTTGCATCTAAGAGAAGAGAAAGCAATTAGAGCAAGTAAATTAGAAGTGCTGTAGGGAAGAGTAAAGAAGGGAGAAAGATGAGGAACGCTAGGATGGGAGAGTTTATAATTTGGAATTAAATGCTGTTATGGAGGACCACATTAAGAAGATGAAACTTGAGGCAAAAATGAAGGAAGCAAGAGAAGGAGCCTGGGAGAAAAGTCTAGCAAGAATATATGAGAGAGAGAAATAACAGTACACAGTCATGAAAGTGAGATCATGCCTGGTGGTATTGATAATCCCCAAAGAGTGCCAGCATTTTGTTCTGTTTGAAGTACAGAAAGTGAGGGGAGAAAATGATGCCAGATGATGTGAGGAAAAAAAAAAAAGAGGCCATGAAAGGCCATTGGAAGGTACTGAGCAGGGGTTACGTGATGTCTTTTAAAATTTTATACAGGACACATGGACTGTTCCAGTGTAAACCAGCTGAAGGAGGCAGAGCAGAAGCAGGACGTTCATAGAGGAAGGTGCTAGAGAAACTGAGGCAAGTGAAGATGGTGTAGAGCTAGGTGGTAGCGGCAGCTGTTGGAGGAGTGGTTGGTTGGATTCTAGATACATTTTGAAAATAGAATCCATGCAATTCACTGCTGAGTTAGATGTTGTGTGGCGGGAAATGACTGTCATCCAAGACAAGACAGCCTCAGCGATTTGGCTGGAGAAACTGGAAAGATGTACTTTTAATGAGATTAAGCTGGTATCGGAAAGAGAGAAAATCTTCTCTAGTGAGAGTGGGTGGTGCAGCACACGTAAAAAGGGAAGGAGGCTTAACTCAGCTCAGATCTAGAAAGACAGCAGCTGATTGTGTCCATTCAGTCTGAGTTACTCTTTTCCGGTTTCCCTGAAGTTATCTCACCCTAAATGTTTTATAATTGAGAAGACAGAGAAAATGGACCATTTTGGTCACCAGGCAACAGAAAAGCTACATAAAGTCAAGCTGTACTCTTGGCCTAAATATCTGACGCATATGGCTGGAGGGAAGTTGTCGAGACTTCTTTCCTAAGCCAAACAAAATCGAATTTCGTATTTACTTTGTGTAGCTGTAATTTTTAACATTTCTATTAAACATTATTTCTCAGTGTTTTTATTTTTTCCAGGATAAGTATGATTCCATTCTTAAAACTCAGTTGTGAATAAAATTTAGATAAAAGGGAGTTGGGAGTAGTGGTGTGTGTGTGCTTGTGTGCACATGTACGCACGTACATTGTAAGAGGCAAGTCCTCAGGAGGCTGCATCCTCTGTCTACTCAGGTAAGGAGAGGAAATGGGGAAATTCTTGGGAGAAATGATGACAGGTAGTTAACATGGACAGAGCTAAAAACATCTTAAAACTAAAAAGAACATCATCCCAGGAATAGGATTAATTCACAAGGGCTTATTTTAGTGAAGCAAACGGTCAACAAAATCCTCATCATTTTTGCTAAAATCCATTTTCTTTTGGCTTTGTTGAAGGTGAACTGATCTCTTAGGATTAAGAAGCTAGACTCCTGGTGCTTCTAGTGTTCCCGTGTAACTTGTGTATTGGAGCTCCCTTTGTACTCTTAGATGCATATGACCCGCTGAAAACCAACCGTGTTCTCCTGTGTATTCTTTCTTTTCTTCTCCTTCTTTCCATGTCTTTATTTTCTCTTCAAAAGAATGAGAGAAACATTTTTTGTTTAAAAGACAAAGACTAAACAACAACAAGAAGCCAGGTGTGGTGGCTCATGCCCGCGACCCCGCACTCGGAGGGCTGAGGCAGGAAGATCACCGTGAGTCCGAGGCCAACCGCACCATTTAGCAAGACATTATCTCAGAATACAAAAACAAAAACAAAAACCCACATAAACAAAATGACAAAGACTTTTTTAGGTTATCCCCTTGTAGTACCTAGTATATCATCTATACTTAGATGTGTTCAGAATTGCTCCTTGGCTTTAAAGTTTCCTGTGGGCAAAGAATGCCTTTTCCTAAACAGTACATATAAAGCTAGCAGCCTAGCAACGATTCTGATGAACTACTAACAAATTCTTTCCCTAGAGGTCATGTTGAATCTTCTGGATTTAATTTTGGTCTGAGGTAACATGGTGGACCAGCTGGATGATGAGAGTTCTCTCAGTTCTTCTAATGGAGAACAGATATAGCTCTGACTTAATTTACCTGATTTTAAAAATCCAGGAACAGCTTATATCTGTGGAAAAATTATAGTTTTCTTAAGTGGAAACTTTAAATATTTGCACACTAATGCCTAAGGGTTTGGAGGAATCACATTTCAAAGGAATGTCCAAACTTATTCAAGACCTGTTAACTGTATACTTATTTATCCCAAGTATCCAAAAGTTTCTCTTAATTCTAAATGAGTAGAAAATGCCAACCTATGAATTACATATATTTTTCACTTATATAAGTGCTGAAGAAAAATTTCATGAAGAAACCAGTACATTTCTTATTCCTTGTCTTTCTTAGAAATTTTTTCCCTAGTGAAGACATAGATGTTTTATTATATTCTTCTTTGGCTTTTACACAGAGATCTCAAGAAAATGAGCAAGTTGGAGCGGAAGTAAGATTGGTTCTGAAGGTGACTGTTCAGAGATGGGTGTGACTGTGCAGGCTCCCACTGAGGTCCACCAGGTTTCTCGGCTAGATTCACGCCTTGGTGTCAGCACCTAAAGACGTGGAAATCGATGGCCGCACATAGAAATTTGTTCCCATATTTAGTCAACCTTTTAGTCTTACTTGTGGTCAAAGTGATTATAGCTATTGCTCCTTCGTTGCCTATGTAGCCACTTGATCACAGAGGGAAATTAATTGGCCTGGCATGATTTGCCTTTTGAAAAGTCACATTGGTTTCCACCCAATACTTAGTGCTTTTTAAGTTGCTTCTAATTGATTGATGTTAAATTCTGTATTTTCCCTGATACTGAAGTTAAGCTGACAGGCCTATAATTACCAGGATTGTCCTTTCCCCCCCTTTTAAAAAGATGAGCACTTCATTTACCTTTTTTTCAGTCTACAGGGACTTTCTTTATCCTCTTGAGTTCTCAAAAATAATCACTCGCAGCTATGTAATAACACCTGCCAATTTCTTAAGTACTCTTAAGAATGTCATCAGGCCCCGCTGATTTGCTTAAAGCCGGCTTTTCACAATACTTTTTAACCATTTTATTCCTACTGTAGTTTCTGTTCTCTTTTGTCATTGGTTAACATAACTGGATTCCTGATAATTTTTTTAAAATTGGAAAACCAAAAAGTTTATTTTTTTTTTTAGTCACTGCCATGTGCATCATTTTCTGTCTTTGAAGTCTTAAGTGAGATATTTCTTAGGATTCTCAGCCTTATATCGTTGAGGTAAATTTATATTTATATTTCTTATATCTTCTATAGGTTACATTTTTTATGGTTATAGACTATAAGGCTCTGTGTTTAAGTGATTTCTTTTGGATGTATCTTTGTGGTTTAGACATTATTCTCACTCAAGTTCTGAGATTTACTATTTAAAAAAAACCCATTTTGGGATGATTTTTGATTTATAGAAGAATTCCAAAAGTAGCACAGAGAGTTTCTATAGATTCTTCATCTACCCATTTACCTTAATTTTTTTCTTTTTAGTACTGGGTATTGAATCCATGGCCTTTGCCTTTGGGCTACATCCTCAGACCTTTAAATTTTTAAAATTTTGAGTTAGGGTTTTGCTAAGTAAGGTAGGCTGGACTTGAATTTGTTATCCTCCTGTCTCAGCCTCCCAAGTAGTTGAGATCATAGATGTGTGCCACCGTGCCCAGTTTAACTTCTTACATAAGCTAATATATTTGTACAAACTAAAAAAATTAATATTGGTAGATTATTTGAATTTAATGCTTCATTTTGGATTGCACTAGTTTTTCCATGAACATGTTTCTTTTTTTTCTGCTCCAAGATTCAATCCAGGACTCCACAATGGATTTAGCAGATTCTCTTAATATTTTTTCACTAGCAATGATTAAAAATAATATTGTGTGATCATGCCCATCGAGATTCTACTAATCTTCATATATTCAGCTAAATGACTTTTATCTTCAGGCAGAAAATTCACCTGAAGCAGTTTTATGCTAAAAAACAATGTCTTCCATATACCTCAAAGATTAATTTGACAATCTGAGTTCTTCTGAATATTAGAGTTTGCTCCTAATGACTCCAGCAGGGAGTGCAGTCTGGGAAAACTGCTCATACAGGTCTTTCGCTTCTGATTTGATCATAATTTTGTTATGATATCTCTGCTATTCTTTTTCTTCTTACTTTGAGACTTTGTTTGTTGGCTGGTTTCTTTCTGGGCAGGACCAAGACTAGAGAGTGAAGGAAGTAAGGTGCACTGTTTAAGGAGACACTCAGGCTCACAATCAAGCAAGTTCAAGTTGGTATTTGCCGAGTGAGTGCCCATCAGTTCTGTAGCCTGGGCACCTGCTTGGTTCATGTCAGTCCCTGCTGTGTTCCTGGGTTTCAGAGCATAATGTGTTACTGATTTACAGGACCACGCATTTTCCATCCCACCACCCACCTCCTCCCTTTCACTCTTTTAGCTATACATAACCTCTGATATAATACTTTGCTTTTCTCTTTAACTGTGGTCATGAACCATAACCTTCTGTGTATTTCCCCAGCTGTGTGTTAGATATTAGTCAAAATTCCAGAAAGTCTTGGGCTTTTGCTTTGTTCCCATATTACATTTCCTTGGAGGGCAGACCTTAAAGGGATTTTTCTGAGTAGATGAGTATAGGTCTATATGTAATTGTGTATTTGTATGCATAGTCTGCAATTTAAATTTTGCACTAAGTGCTGGGGAAGAAAAGAGCTTGTTTTAAAGCTTATTTCAAGCTGTTAGAACTTCTTCTGGGCAATTAGAATAATAAAGTGCAATTTAATGCTTTTCTCCTTCCAAGTTGCCAAGGAGGCCACATGGTTTTCTCTGAGTAGGGGAGTAAGTAAACTCATGAGAGCAGGGGTGAAAATATACTCAAATGTTAATATTTAGAAAGAAGAAAATAATGATAATCTTCTTCCCAAGATTCATTTAGGAAAACCGACGGATTTTTCTGTATTTGTGACTTCCTGAGGAAAGATAGCAATACTTAGTAGATGAGGTAGAATTGCTCTGTTGGTGGCATTTTTAGGGCATTACAGAGAACAATTTGTGGTTTCTATAGTGAGGTGACAACTCCTAGGAGAATGCTAACAGACACATTGAAAAAAAAAAAACCAACACAGATTCTTGACTGCAAGAAACACAGTGGCTGCTTGCATGCCAGTTAAGAGGCTAACTTGGGGGTTCAGCAAAGGCTTGTGTCTAAAGTGTGTGTAGATGTCAAGTCATTAAACACAAATAAGGAAGTTTTTAGAGAGCTGTGGGAAAATATATTCCAGCGGGCTCCCCGACTTGTGTGAATAAATATAGACTGGTTTAAAGACCTTAGGTTTAGGGTTTCCAAAGAGAGAAAACCTCAGGGTAAAACAAAACTTCCTCAGCTGGTGAACTCCCTGCACAATAGATTATTATTAGTTCAAAATTATAGGAAGATGGTCATGCCAGGAGGTCTCACTGCCCACACATGTGTGGGGTGTTACTGAGGGTCTTGGCTTGAGTGGCCCCCTAAGCAGGCCCTGTGACAAGGAATTGACTATCGAATAGTAGTTTATGTGGCAGCGATCATAGGAACTCTGGTAGAGGACGTGGGAACTAAAAGCAAGGATGGAAACTGATCAAGAGTGTGTTATCAAGCTTGCTACTCTCAGCATTAGGGCTCGGTTCCTTGAGGAATTCTGGGAGACAACAGAGCATGCTTGAGTTAATTTCTAAGGGGGAAGGGAGAGAGGTTCTTAAACAGCCATCTCCCTATTTGTTAATGTTTGAGGACTGCTTCTAGAGGCATTAACTCTTTTGGGACTTAAGCTTGTCCTGTCACTGGGTTCTGGCCTCAAAAGAGAAGCTCATAGCTAGTGAGAGGCAGGTGTGGCAGTAACTGATGAGCAGCGATGCTGCAGAACAGGTGCAATGGCTTTTATTTCCACGGTTGACTCAGAAATCTGTCTATGCGCCAGTAGGAGACACTACTTTCCTTCTATTACTGAGGTCTGGTATTTCCAGAGCAATGAGCTATAAATCAGGTGTGAAAGGTCAGATAAAGAAAAGATAATGCCTCGGATGTAAATGACCCATAGACAGCTACACTGAAAAATTCTAAGGGCAGGAATGGGACTTTCTGTGTGTTACAGTGCATGTGTTTAATTCTTTCTCTTTGTTAGCTCAGTGACAGTGGAATAAACTTTCTATTGTTCCTGCCCAAGGGAGCAGCAGTGGTCAAGTGAGCAGGGATGGGTGGTCACTGGGTAGTTCCTTACGTGGCTGTTGTTGTTCATCATGGCCTCCTCTACACAAAGCTGGTTCTCCTGCAAAGTCTTCCCTTGCCTTTTACAGACATCATGCAGATTCTTGATGTCAAGTTGTAGGCTCAGGAGCTTACTGTTCAGGCTGTTCACGTCTCTGTCTCTCTCCCCCACCTAGGCAGCCAGAGAAACAAAGCATCAATTACAAACTTTCATGAAAATGCTTACTTTCCTTCACTTAACAGGTTGACAGGGACTTTAAATTTGCTAGAAATTTGTCCATCAAGTCATTGCTATTATTACTCATCCTGTGTAACATTTACACAGTATCCATTTGTGAGGTGTCTGAGTGCTCTACATTATTCAGACAATTACTTATTTATATTAATTAATCTTCACCACACTCCTGTGGGTGCATCAGACAATTCTCTTATTTTTCAAAAGGAAGCCAGCATCTAGAGTAATTCCAGGCACCCAGTGAACTGTCTATAAATATTAATGGTTCTGCCACTGATAAAACGAACATATTAAGGTGTCAAATGAACTTGTCAAGACTACAGTGAATGAATCAGTGATGGAGCTGATGTGGGATTCTGAAGTCTTTTTTTTTACTCATTAACCAAAATCTTCCTCACTTATAATACTTAGTGCTTTCCTTTGCAGGGGTTCACCAGTGGGAACACAAGTGAAATCCCCTTGCTAAGTGGGTAAGGGCCCTGTCTTTGACTATGAGCAAAAAGGATTAGCTAACTGTTGCAAGATCAGAATGAAAAGTAGTGACTGAGACCAAAATAGACGATGAAGTGTAGCAGCTTGGGAGGGGAGGTGGTGGGATGCAGAGATCGGGTAGATGGGTGTGTTCTTCACATCACGATGCCACTTTCACCCTCAAAGTTGTGGGTGGCAAGTGTGGCAGCAATTAGGAAAAAGCCCTCTGTGAACCTATGCAGTTTCAGTCCTGTCTTTCTTTTCAATCACACTGAACACAGGCGTTATCACCTCTAAGCTTTAGATCCTGGAACTGAGGCTGAAGCATATATATAAGGAGGTGCCCATCTCTTTGGTTAGAATGCCTGGAAGTGGCTTCCTATGTGAAGATTTGTGATATTTATTAAAGAAACACTCCCATGAGAAACCAAGAAGGAAGAAGGGGAAGCAGGATAGGGAAGCAGAAGAAACTAAGCAATTTCAGACGAAGTCTCATGGCTCATTTTAGGCTGATCCTACAGGGAACTCCAGAGTGTAAGTTATACTGTAGAGTCTGTTTTGAGGGATGGTGATGAAAGTGAAGTTGTCAAATTTGGCTCCAGCCAGTTAACGGCTGAGAGCTGCCCTATGGGATACAATCTCCCAAGGACATCTGACTTTTTGCTCTTACAGGCAAAATGACCTCAATAAACTTGGGGCAATTGTAAGAGGCAAGGCAGAGGTGAGTACATAGAAATGGTACAGAAACTTGAGTCACAGTGTGCAAAGTCCCATATCTGGTGGGCAGTAGAGATAAGAAATCACATTCTTCTGACCATGTAGCCAGTACCCTACTGCTACATCTCACAGACTGCTCTTGTGAGATACATGAGCTACAGAATACACATTCCCAGGGGAACTGGAGATCTGACATGGACGTTGTAAATTAAACCTTATTGTACAGGCCAGTTTCTAAGAGACCTCTACGCAAGGCCAAGGAGGGCCAGAGGACAATGTGAGAATCAGACACTGCAATGTCAGAATATTCGGAATTCGGAAGGTTTCCCAGAAGTGCCGCTGTCTCAGCTGATTTATGTCTTCATTTCCATTTAGTACCTGAGGTTTTTTTTAAAAACTGCTTTATAGTTTAATTAGGTTAACGGCATGGTTCTATCATTAAAACGATTTCATTATCTCAAAACTCTCCCTCCTCCTCTCTTGCTTCTGCCTTCATCTCTTACTTTTCAGAAAAATAACAGTAGATGTCAACTGCCCCAAGCATGTAATTACCATTAGACAATTACCAGGAACCCTCTTATGAGAATATGTGTAGAGTGGTTTTAAAAACTGATGCGCGTACAATGTTTTCTAACTTGAAAACAAAATATTTTGACCCAATAAAGAGCAGCAATTTGATTCTCGTACTTTTAATCCCTTTACCCATGATTGCCACATCGGGAATAGGGCATAGAGCCTTCCTGGGAATGGGGTTATCGGAATCCCCCCTCCATTCTTTTTTTTTTAAATGTCTTTTTCTTTTTTATCGGTACCAGGGATCGAACTCACGACTGCACACTTGTAAGGCAGACACTTATGCCGCTGAGCTAAATCCCCAGCCCTCCCCCATTCTTGCCACGGAACCATTTTTCTTTGGGATCATGAGCAAAGTAGGTGATGATGCCATGCCTACCCTACAGGACAGCCCAGTTCTCTGTAGTCTTGCCTGGATGCTGGAGTAGTGTCTCACAGTGAGGACCACATCACCAGATTTCTTCATGTGGAGCTCAGCACACTGGAGACTCACTAACAAAATGCCAGTGATATGCAACTCTATCCTAAATTAACAGACGTTCTCTCTCAGGCTAATAAAAATATCCCCTCTTTAGTTTTAGATGTCCTTGCAGTACAAGACCTACTAGCCCTATTCTTTTATACTACTGGGCTTCAGAATTGGATCTGTGCTGCAGATTCATCTAATCTGGATATTTAGCATTGGCTTAGAGTCTCCGAGGAAATTTCTTCATTCACAAAGCTAGAGATTGGGGATAAATTATCTTTCTTTGAAGACTCCCTAAACCAGTTGAATAACAAATGTGTTTTATGGGATAGCAAACAAAATTTGCTTTTAAAATAAAAACATAATCATTCATTCCTAAGGACCAAATCACGAAGGGGTTTTGATGCACTAGAACAGCAGTAAAAATGCTTGAAGGGAAGTAACATGATTTCCACCAACCATGTTCCATTTTTAACTGTAGATCGTTTAAAGAGGATACTATGCTAACCTCAGAACCCCAGAAAGGCAAGGTTTTCTGGGGGTCAAGAAAATCTAATTTTTTGCTAACATCTTGCATAAATATTAATCATAAACTATTTATATTTCCACCTAGCTTACGAATATTAAATTCCAGGCAGATGTCTTTTGAGTATTAATATGCAGTAGTAATAGATTTAATTTGACATTTCATCACTCATATCTCTGTACCAGTACTGGGACATGAGATGAACTGAGGGTCATAATGATGACCCTGAGGCATAATCTGATCCCGTCCTGGATTTGAAATCATTAGTGATAGCTGAAATAACAAGCCAAGTACTTAGATACCCAGTTTTTGCTTAGATAAGGCTAGAATCAGGTCACTTTGCTTAGGAGCTTGTGACATCAGCCAAGCCATCAACCTACAGACGAAATGGTGAGTGCTAATTCTACAGTTGCTAACATATTCATGATATGGGAAAACAGGTTATTTATTGAGGCAAATTTTCTTTATTGATTAAATGGGTCTTTTGTCAAAGAGCACGCCTTCTAAAACATGTTTGCTGTAGACTTCAAAGTATTAACAAGTAGTTTCATGCTTTTTTTGTGGCAAGGGAGCTGAGATTAAATTTAAGCTTGTGAATATGTAGCACTTTCAGAGTTCAAGAGCATTACAAGATTCAATATGGCAATATTCCTAGAGATTTGGCACTTGAACAAGAAAGCTTGGTGAAAATTGGGTGGCAGTTTCCAGAGGAATTTTGGAGTTTAGATCACTAGAAAGATCATCATCTCTGGGAAATTACTTATCTCAGGACAGGGACAAAAATCTCCAACAAGCAATGGAAAATCACTTTTAAACACTGTGAATACTACACCCATTCAACAGATAACAATTTATCATGAGAGTTATGCTTCAAAAAGCAAGAAGCCTTTAAAACTAATGTTGTTTCAGGAATTTTTATTTTTGCTTATGTAATAATAGTGTTTATAGTAATTTTAAACACTAATATTGATATCATTAACCAGATTCCTGAATTTACTTTTATGCTTATGGAAACATTGTACTTTTTGCATTATTTATGATGGGAATAAATTGATATTCATACAAAATTTTTCCTGTAATAAAAATTTCTGAGCCAGTTATGTTTATATAGTGAAGAATAAGAATATTGTATTGTCTTCTAAATTTTTTAAACAGAGGCACACTTTATATGGTTTAGGGTACACATGGCATATATATCAGTCATCTATGGAATGTGGGCTGATATTTGTTGGCATTTGCCCAGGTGCCGCATATTTTTTGAAATCATATTCCTGGAGAAATCATTCCACTAGAAGGTATTCCCCAAGAGACTAAGGACTTTTGACTATTTTTTTATCCTTTTAATGTAACAGAGGTTCCCAGCTCCTAACATGTCAAAGTTATTCCAAAGACACCAGTGACATGAAGGAATGCTCTTCTAGAAAATTCATACCTGATCCTTATTTCCTGTTATTTCCTTAGGGCTCCATTTACCCTTCAGAAAAGGGGCAGAAATTCCTGTTTTAGAAGCTACTCATCTTGGTAGGTCTGTTAAAATCCATATGGTAAGTGGAACCCCTCTATCCTTACCCAAACAGGCCCCTTCAATACCTTCTGGAAAAAGTCAGGTAATACATACACCATTTGACCAAAATACTAGACAAATCAGAACACTTTACATTTCATTTTATAGTATTCTAGATAAAAAGAATATTTTTGGCAACAACAGTAAATATTTATTAGGTATTTTTTACATGCAGTGTCTTATAATTTTCCTAGCTAGTCTTTGACATAAGTGCTCATCATTCATATTTTGGGGAAAGATAAAGTATAGAAAGAGTAAACAACATGCCCAATAATCTTCTGCCATTGGATATAAACCCAGACCCACCTAACCTGACCTGCTATGTTCTGCTGCCTTTTTCTGTCTGCAGTATTTTGTGGGGGCTTCTCCCTGGAATTCTGAGTCATGGAACTTGAAAAGAAGTCCCTTGTAACCAAGATTTAAGTCCAGGTATGTAGACAAGTTAGGAGTCTTACCTCACCTTTCAGTCCCTTGGAAGCTCTCAATTCTCCTTTAAGCTTTAGCATTTTGTGAGCTGTGGTATAAGCCTGAAAAAGGTCAATGGGAAGAGTATAAATGAGTCTAGTCCTTTAAAGATTTTCCCAGCTGGATCTATGCCCTTGGTGGAGAGTTTGGAAATTTTTTCCAAACCTTTAGCAACACTAACCCTCTAGTCCATATTTTTGTTTCCAAAAGCATGTTAAAACCCCCACCACGGAGGCAGGACCATAGTTTTTACATCTTTTCCAGAAAACCACAATTTGGTAGACAAAATAGTTTCTGAATTCAACCTTCTTGGAAACCTCAACTTCTTGGAAAGTGAAAGGTCTGAACTTAGCCCATTTTCTAGATTTCTAAGCATTCCATGGCTCAGATAATTAACAGTTAACATTGTACACTTATTATGAACCGTTCAGGATGCATATGATCCACCTTCATGCTCACAGTAACTCTGAAAGGTGTGTACTACTACTGTCCTTGTTTCACAGAAGGAGAAACAGTCCCAAGGAGGCCGAGTGACTACCTAAAGTCACCCAGACTCTCTTACTACTGTGAAAATCTTCCATTCATTTTACAAGCATTGCTTGAAATGTTAAATGATATGATATTTTTGAATTATCATTTTGCTAATAACATTGGTGCTTATAAAGTTAGGAAACCTTAAAAGGAATGGGAATTATCTAGATAAAAAGTTTCCAAGAAAACCAATGATTTTTGCACAATATATGAGTGTGTAAGAACAGGATGATGCATTTGAAGTCATAACTTACTGAACTTATTAAAATAAGTTATGTTTGTAACTCTAAGTCTAGAGGAAATTTCTACCAGACACTTACCTGCAGAATATTTCCAAGAATGAGAAGCTATTGAAATACTCATTCTTTGTAATGAAGTACATCCCTCACTCTTAATATAAGCCAAGAGGAAGAAAGAATCCTGGTGATACATGGAATTTGGAATGTTTAATGGAGCTGCATTCTGATTTTCTGCTCTGATTACACCCTTAAGTCTTTGTGCACTGAGGTGCATCATGGGAATGATACGAAGCTCAGACTTACCAGCTAGGGAAAGGGTAGGTGATGTTGCAGTAACAAACAACTTCCAAATCCCTTAAGCCTATGAGGGTTTATTTTCACTCATGTTATGGATCCTTTGTGAGTCAGCTGAGGCTCTGCTCTACATTGTCCTCAGCTGGTGGAACCTCTATTATCTAGTATGTTGCCTGTTGCCATGGCAGCAGAAAGGGATCTTGGTAAATTACATACTGCTTCTTAAAGTGAAAGTAAAGCACTTCACTTCTCACATTTCATTGTCCAAAACAAGTCACATGGCCACACTTAACTTCCTTTACCCTCCAAAGAAAATATTGGTGGATGTCATAAGTGATTTTCACACTAGGCTAATGAAAAGATAAAAACAAATGTGACATAAAAAAACACTAAACAGGACTCTGGGCTACCAAAGCCCTGGTTCAGTAGCTAATTTGAAGAGTGTCCTTTGAGAACACCCTCATTTGTGTCACCTTCATTTTTGTCTCTGGAAACTGAGGGGTTGTAGTAAGTGACCTTTAATGTCTTTCCTAGCTCTAAAGTTTACTGATTCTATGGTCTACAGGTGAATGCCATTCTTCAGTAGGAATTAAGCACTAAATCTGAGCCTCTCACAGAAGTTGTAGTAGAATATATGTATCCTTGAGGAGAATAACCCTCTACTTACAGACCCACTGGATATGCAACAGATGATTTTTAAATAAAATCTTATCCAAAATTTAAAAACAGATTTCCTAGATTATAATGGTTTTGTACACTTTGGAGTTACACAGCTATCATTGTAAGGGCCAAGAGTATTTCAAATGGAAAGTAGAAGGCATAAGTTCTAATAGTTGCATAAAAATATATTGGGCTTTACTAAGTAAAATAAATTAGAGGAAAAGCAGAGAACTGAATTTTGTTCCATGAGGGAGACATAGGAATTCTGTGAGTCATTAGTGATAGCAGTGGGCACTTTGGAAGTGCTTGTAGTGAAAAAAAATGCATTTTTGATGCATTTGACAGTAGTGTTTCCCAGATGGATTAGAGACAGAGCTTTGAGGGAGCCTTTATGCTTTATGAAGTGATCATGTGGACCCTCATAGTGCTTTCTGAGGAGTGTGGTTGGTTACTGGATTCTCTAGGCCCAGGACTTCATTAATGTCATCTCTCTTCTCGAACCCTTGCTCTCACATCTTCTGTCTCCTGCATTGCTGCTGAGACCTTCACTTTATCTACCCTTCTGCTACATTAGCCCAGGGAACTGCTTTTCTGTTTTCAAAAGTCCTGCTATCTGCTTTGCACAGCAGGCATTCTTTTGGGGACACTGGTGCCCAGAAAAAAATGATCCTAATCTAAAGAAAAACTTGTTCAAGTGAGTATCTAGTCATATTTTATGTTTCCTCTCAGTTGACTCTCAGAGCACCTTACGTATATCCAAGAAACACCCAACACTACCTATCACATGGGTGACTAATGTTGCAGCTATATACTGAGATGTGCAAAGACAGTAACTTTTCTATCAGTTAGCTTCTTCACTGAGCCTCATTTCCACCATGTGGCAGAAATCACAACCTTAGTTATTGCTAAGAAAGCACCATCATTTTCAGGCTAAACATAAATCAGTTTCTGATTTCCTCAAGCTCCTTAATAAGACCTTTCTGAAGTGTGTGTAAATTTGGGGGTCTTAGGTTGGATCTAGCATCAGCGGCATCTTCGGGTCCATGACCATAGGTACCTCTCTTGGCTAGAGTATGCTGAGATGTCTTTGTCATTGCAAATAGGTCACATATACTGCAGCTTTCTCATCCTAAGAGTTTTGGTTTGACTAGTCTTGTCTTACTCTTGAAAGTTTTCTTCACGTTCCTGATGCTAGCATATGTGTATAGTTTTAGATCCTTTCCTAACAGATCTGTCCTACTGAAGTTTTGTGTATTGCCTTGCAAGGTAAACAGGATGCTAGATTTTTTCCCAATTTCTTGGTATTCATCCAAGTTCTTCTGCCCCTGGAAAGCTAAACCCATGCAGTGATCTACCATTTTTCTGTACTTTTGGCCCATCTCATAGATTTCATCAAGGGCTAATTCTCCAGTTTAAGTTCTAATTTCCAGAATCTGATGCAAGGTTAAGACTGGGTTATAGTGCAACCTTAGGATAGAGGTTTTTCTTGAGACAAAGTAAGGTTAATTGGATTTCCTCAGAAAGAGCCTTTGGGATGACAGATGAGATGAGAAGATTGGGGAGCAAAAGGAGCACCATGCTTTATAAGACTCATTATATTAGGTAAATTTTTTTCCTTGGGACTATCCCTTTTGGTACATTTTACAGAGACTCCTAATCGATGTCCATACTCTTCCTCAGGAAGAAAATTATAATTTTATTGGAGTATCTCTGTATTCCAATAAGCAGACTCCACATAGGCTACTCCAAATAGAAGAATATCTTTCACCTCCCTTGGAGCTACGTGCGGCTATGTCTCTAAATTCTAGTCAATGAAATATAAGTAGTATCTTGGGGACTTCCTGGAAATTTTTTTTTTTTTTTTGTCTTTTTGAGGCAGGGTCTCATTATGCATTTCAGGCTGGTCTTGAGCTCACTTTGTAGCCCAGGCTGTCTTGAACTTACAATGATCCTCCTGCCTCCACTTCCCAAGTGCTGGGATTACAGGCACATGCCAACACATCTGGCTCTTCCTGGAAATTTTAAAGTCGGGTAGTACACAGCTCTTTGTCCCTCCTCTCCTTCTTAATTGCTTGCAATGTTCATTTAATGGCTGGTGCTCCAACAGCCACTTGAAATATGCTTATGGAGATGTTTATGGAGATGGAAGGAGTCCAGGTCATTCCAGCATTGGACAGCAATTTCTACTTGTTTAAATCACTGTTATTTTGGTTTTCTGCTTCATGCAACTGAATTTAATGAAAATGAACAAAGTACCCTTATTTGTGTTCCTCTCAGAGAGACTTTATGATTTATCCCCCATTTCTAGGACTTCTACAGCTGCAAAATAAACCATGGAGTGTATGTTTTATGCACTGTGGACAAGGTCTTTGAGCTCAGATGTATTTTTCTCAAATGTGACTTCATTTCTTTGACTTAATTTGCTTTTTCTCCTGATCTATCAGTTCTTTGTTTTCACTCCTTTTCCACTTGCTATGTAGGCTAGGAGGAGCCAGGGTGGGGAAGAGAGTAACACATTCAGCTTATCTACTTCCACTACCGTTATTCTCATGCCATTTAGTGAAATTTCCTTGTCAAAGTACACACTCCATCTAATCTTTGCTGCCATGATCATTGACTGATGTGGAAAAAACTCTCTCCTCTGCTTGCTGTATGGTTTCCTCCATGAGGTATATTCTGTCTGTCAGAAACCACCCACGCCTGTAATCCCTGTACTCTGTGAGACTGAAGTAGGAAAATTACAAGTTTGAGACCAGTTTGGGCAGCTTAGTGACTTAGGGAGATCCTGCCTCAAGATAAAAACAAATTGAAAAGGAATGGAATTCAGCTCAGTGCAAAGGCTCTGAGTTCAGTCTTCAGAACCAGCAGTAACAACAACAGCATCACCTACCTTCACGCTCCAACTCAATTCCCAGTTCTATCATCTTCTCTGTTACTATCTGTAATACCTGCGCTTGGATGGCAGCTTCTACACATCAGGCACTGTTCTAAATACGAAAGAATACAGTTAACTCTCACACTGGACTTGCCAGGTAGGTGATACCTCCCCTCTTCCCCAACAACACTTTATCAGTACCTGTTTAATTTTTATTAGTATAAGTTGACATTTCTTGTGCAGAGTTGGTACATGTGCACAGTAAGTCTTAATTCCTCCTTTCATTCCCTTTCCTTCTCTTCCCTCCATCTGTTGAACCCTTTCCCATATGCAACAGATCAGCCTCCCTACTTCTTACTCTGTCTTTTATTTTGCTCTTTATAATTTGAGTTTTTTATATAAGAGGAACCACGTAATTTTTAAGCTTCTGTGTCTGATTTATTTCACTTAACGTTATGGTCTCAGGATATATCCATTTTCCTACAAATGACTGATGTTATCTTTCTTTATGCCTTTTAACACAAACATCTAACTTTATTATTGATGCTGGTGATTTGCTTTTTCTCTCTAGTAGGTAGTAGTGGTCTCCCGTGAAAGAAGAAGCACACGCAGAAAAGTTGCAAAGAGAGTACACAGAGCTTCTATATAAGCTTTTTCTTATTTCCCTAAAGTTAGCATCTTACATAACGACATGAGGATCAAAATTAAGAAATTAATGTGGGTCCAAAACTATTAACAAAGTCAAATACTTTATTAGAATGTAACAAATTTTACCACTAGTATCTCTTTTCTGTTGCTGAATCTGATTCAGGGACACTTCCCTGTCCTCTGTCTCTTTTTGTTCCTCCAATCTGTGATAATTTCTCAGTCTTTCTTCATTTTATATGACATGAACATTTAAAAAAGAATACTGGTCAGTCATTTTACAGAATGACCCTTAATTTGGACTTGCCTGATGCTTTCTCATGCTCTGCATTTTGGGCCAGTGTGGTATATACCTTCTTAGTGAATCACCAGAGGATATATGATGTCAATATATTCTATCACTGATGAAGTTAACCTTAGGTCATTTGGTTATGCTGATGTGTACTGGGTTTATCTATGACAAAGTTACTATTTTTTCCTACTACAACTAATAAATATCTCAAGGAGAGATACTTTGAGAATATGCAAATATAGTGTTTTTCCTCTAACTTCCACCTGCTATTTTTAGCAAGATGGGTCTCACTCACAATAATGATTACTGTGTTGGGGCTGGGGATTTTGCTCAGTGGCATAAGTACCTGCCTTGCAAGTAGGCAGTCGTGAGTTCGATTTCCAGTACTGATAAAAAGGAAAAAGACAAAAAAAAAAAAAATAATGATTATTGTGATATTCTAATAGAGACTTTTGATTTTTTTTTACTGTTCCTCATTTACCAATTGGAATTTTTCTGCAAAGAAGAGTTGGTCCTTCTCTCCATTTAATTGATTGTTTACATCAGTATGAACTCAGAGCTATTTTGTTTTATGGGGTTATTATCTAATATTACTGTGTATCTTGTTGGTCAGCTTTCCCTGCTTTGGCCACTATATCTTTTCAACAGCATCTATCCTTTTCTTGAATACTTGCTTACTTT